CAGTACAAACATCACGCAAGATGTGACTACAGAGTTCTAAGATGACAGTGCAAATATTGGTGGATGACATTAACATGCATAACACACTCCTTAGGTTATAGATTTCCTTAAGCAAGCAAGACTTCAATTAACAATCAAATTGGCTTAGTATTTCAATTTCTAGCCTGCTTTACTGTGCCAGAGCACCTGTACTTGGGTGAATGTCAAAGCAGAAAATGATATATATTATAAGTAATTTTCTCAACAATAACTGCCCTTTCCACACCAATCTCTTATAGTTTTGGAGAGAGTGACTAAGTAGCACTGTGATCAAAATTAAAACAAAGTGACCACAGCACTTTCTCAGGTCATTTCAAACTTGTTTTATGTGTAGGCATTTGGTTCTGAACATGCAAATAGGCCCATACATTCCAAATACTGCTGCAGCTTAGTCCAAATGTAACCCAGGTGTTAATTTAAATCTTAAATCAATGTGATAATGGTTTGCAAATCCATTTTACCTTGGGGGAGGTATGTGCTTTAATTCAAACCTTCAAATGACAAAAACACATTATATAGAAAATTCCTGAGAGTGGTAAAAACATAAAACAAAGAAAACCAGTAGCTTGCTTCAAGCTCAAATCTCACACCCTTGTCAGCAAGGATATTTATGTCTAAGACACAAGTCAGTTCCTAGCTGGAGATTTTTTTTAAAAAACTTCCCGTTTGCAAGAACCTTTCAATCTTTTGGGAAGGATAAAATACAAAGCTCAGAACCCCCTTTGTATTCTTCTGTGACTCCTTACTGTTTCTTTGTGAGTAGGCACCCCAGCTGCCTGTAGTTCTTTGAGTTTGTACAGGACATCACTCTGGTGTGTGTTGAATTCTTTGGCATATTTGTGAGCAAGGACTTCAATTGAAGCAACATCACCCTGAAATGATCCAATAAGAATAAAATGAAATAACTGCTTAGTTTTTGGCAACAATGTTTTATACACGTATAAGCAATGGATTATAGTATTATAGTAATTACATACTACATATGTACTAATAAAAAGAGGGTTATTCAAACAAGTAATAAATATAAAATATCACAAAAATCATGTTTCCTATAAATTTATAATATTTTTGAAAACAATGTATTACATAATAAATATATCACTTTAATTGTACCCAATAACAAACCAATCAAATGTCATCAAAGGTCAATAATTCTCACTTTACATATTTTGATAAACTAAAATGCTATAGAGTACTTTGACCAAACATTTAAGTTGGGCTTCATCATGCATCACTTGCCCCTTTCAACACAACATAAATATTTTTGGCATATTTCTACTGTTTACATTTATATTCAAGTTGAAATGAGACTGAACTTGGATTACACTTTTACAGTCTCCAACAACCATATACAATTCCACCCTCTGTGTAGATAACATTAGACAGTGTGGTGCAGTTTCACACTGCCCATTCACTGAAGTGATCTGTCACCTTTATCCCTGATTAATGGCAAAATATAGGGACCAGTTTTGGTCATTAATCTCTCCTTTTGGCATCATGGTATCAGACAGCTCAGTGATCTACACAAAGAACATACCAGATCTGAGTAAATACCCTCTCCTGCCACCTGTCGCCATACCCTCTTAATTTGCTTCTTCACTTGGGCAACAAAACCTAATTCCAGCTATCAGTCCTGTTTGCAATGATTTAGATATGTTGGTGAGAAACGAAGCAGGTATTAATGGGCCATTAATCTGATGGAATGGCATCTGCTGGCCATTCTGAATGATAAAACATTGGGAACACCATAGTGGCAGCCACCCTGATCCTTTTTAGAATAGGGACAACACCTCTCCTCAGTCTCCTCTAGCTAGAAATGATGTTTGTCATTACCATTCATTGATGGGCAACATTAAGTATCAGACTGTGCCAAAAACTTTTAGCCTCCTAGCCCTTTTGGCTAACAGGGTCTAGGAATATACAAGACTAAAGTAGAAACAGTGGTCAGTAACTGAAAAAAATTACCATATTTTTCTGACCCTGATACAATATTAATGGCATTTGGTATGGGGCCCAGTGTTGAAATTAAAGACTGAATTTGGTGAGGGTNCGTTGAATGTAAAAATGGATTCATTAACCATTGGTAAGTATGGGAAAATTGTTGTTTACTCCAGGAAAATTCATTTTTTGGCCAAAACGAAGAGTTATTATCACTTTAACTGGCAAATTATACTATTCAACACAAGATCCCTGTGTACAGTAGTTTGGTTGTCTGCTGCCATTAGGGACTATTTTCAGTCTAAGTTACAGTCCAGATGTGTACATGGCCAGGAGTCAAATTTACATTGATAAAAGATCATCCCATCTAGATATGACCCTTGTCATTCGGCCATCTGATTAAAGCTAAGCTCACCCTCCTATGTTCAGAGAAGGATAATGGGTCATACTGAGAAATGGTTGCTCTATATTCAATGTAAATCTGACCGAATATACAATGACAGTCTGTACAGTCACAGAAAAATGATGTATAACAGATTTTAAATTCCTGAATTCTGGAGGGAAAATCAACAGTTACAAATTTTTATGGCTATTACTAGTACAACATTTTTTCCATACTAAGAAACAAACTGTAATGATCACAAGATGGGAAAAACAATTTTGCCATAAATGAGTCACAGATTTTTTTTTGACTTCAGTGTAATTTCAATTTACACAGGAAGCCATGGAATTTTCCCTTACAGTCTTCTCAGTATCTGCACTAAATATAATGCACAGTATGCTGAACAATTCAACAATATATCGACAGTGCTTATAAATATAAAGTTACAACAGTTATGCAACACAGTACAAACATCACGCAAGATGTGACAACAGAGTTCTAAGATGACAGTGCAAATATTGGTGGATGACATTAACATGCATAACACACTCCTTAGGTTATAGATTTCCTTAAGCAAGCAAGACTTCAATTAACAATCAAATTGGCTTAGTATTTCAATTTCTAGCCTGCTTTACTGTGCCAGAGCACCTTTACTTGGGTGAATGTCAAAGCAGAAAATGATATATATTATAAGTAATTTTCTCAACAATAACTGCCCTTTCCACACCAATCTCTTATAGTTTTGGAGAGAGTGACTAAGTAGCACTGTGATCAAAATTAAAACAAAGTGACCACAGCACTTTCTCAGGTCATTTCAAACTTGTTTTATGTGTAGGCATTTGGTTCTGAACATGCAAATAGGCCCATACATTCCAAATACTGCTGCAGCTTAGTCCAAATGTAACCCAGGTGTTAATTTAAATCTTAAATCAATGTGATAATGGTTTGCAAATCCATTTTACCTTGGGGGAGGTATGTGCTTTAATTTAAACCTTCAAATGACAAAAACACATTATATAGAAAATTCCTGAGAGTGGTAAAAACATAAAACAAAGAAAAACAGTAGCTTGCTTCAAGCTCAAAACTCACACCCTTGTCAGCAAGGATATTTTGTCTAAGACACAAGTCAGTTCCTAGCTGGAGATTTTTTTAAAAAAACTTCCCGTTTGCAAGAACCTTTCAATCTTTTGGGAAGGATAAAATACAAAGCTCAGAACCCCCTTTGTATTCTTCTGTGACTCCTTACTGTTTCTTTGTGAGTAGGCACCCCAGCTGCCTGTAGTTCTTTGAGTTTGTACAGGACATCACTCTGGTGTGTGTTGAATTCTTTGGCATATTTGTGAGCAAGGACTTCAATTGAAGCAACATCACCCTGAAATGATCCAATAAGAATAAAATGAAATAACTGCTTAGTTTTTGGCAACAATGTTTTATACCCGTATAAGCAATGGATTATAGTAATTACATACTACATGTGTACTTATAAAAAGAGGGTTATTCAAACAAGTAATAAATATAAAATATCACAAAAATCATGTTTCCTATCAATTTATAATATTTTTGAAAACAATGTATTACATAATAAATATATCACTTTAATTGCACCCAATAACAAACCAATCAAATGTCATCAAAGGTCAATAATTCTCACTTTACATATTTTGATAAACTAAAATGCTATAGAGTACTTTGACCAAACATTTAAGTTGGGCTTCATCATGCATCACTTGCCCCTTTCAACACAACATAAATATTTTTGGCATATTTCTACTGTTTACATTTATATTCAAGTTGAAATGAGACTGAACTTGGATTACACTTTTACAGTCTCCAACAACCATATACAATTCCACCCTCTGTGTAGATAACATTAGACAGTGTGGTGCAGTTTCACACTGCCCATTCACTGAAGTGATCTGTCACCTTTATCCCTGATTAATGGCAAAATATAGGGACCAGTTTTGGTCATTAATCTCTCCTTTTGGCATCATGGTATCAGACAGCTCAGTGATCAACACAAAGAACATACCAGATCTGAGTAAATACCCTCTCCTGCCACCTGTCGCCATACCCTCTTAATTTGCTTCTTCACTTGGGCAACAAAACCTAATTCCAGCTATCAGTCCTGTTTGCAATGATTTAGATATGTTGGTGAGAAACGAAGCAGGTATTAATGGGCCATTAATCTGATGGAATGGTATCTGCTGGCCATTCTGAATGATAAAACATTGGGAGCACCATAGTGGCAGCCACCCTGAGCCTTTTTAGAATAGGGACAACACCTCTCCTCAGTCTCTGATGTTTGTCATTACCATTCATTGATGGGCAACATGAAGTATCAGACTGTGCCAAAAACTTTTAGCCTCCTAGCCCTTTTGGCTAACAGGGTCTAGGAATATACAAGACTAAAGTAGAAACAGTGGTCAGTAACTGAAAAAAATTACCATATTTTTCTGACTCTGATACAATATTAATGGCATTTGGTATGGGGCCCAGTGTTGAAATTAAAGACTGGAGTTGGTGAGGGTTTTTAAAAAGATTAAAAAAGACTGATAGTGCCTGAGGAGAGAATATATGCTGGACTGACACTAAGAAGTGGATCCAAACTTGTTNACAGCACTTTCTCAGGTCATTTCAAACTTGTTTTATGTGTAGGCATTTGGTTCTGAACATGCAAATAGGCCCATACATTCCAAATACTGCTGCAGCTTAGTCCAAATGTAACCCAGGTGTTAATTTAAATCTTAAATCAATGTGATAATGGTTTGCAAATCCATTTTACCTTGGGGGAGGTATGTGCTTTAATTCAAACCTTCAAATGACAAAAACACATTATATAGAAAATTCCTGAGAGTGGTAAAAACATAAAACAAAGAAAACCAGTAGCTTGCTTCAAGCTCAAATCTCACACCCTTGTCAGCAAGGATATTTATGTCTAAGACACAAGTCAGTTCCTAGCTGGAGATTTTTTTTAAAAAACTTCCCGTTTGCAAGAACCTTTCAATCTTTTGGGAAGGATAAAATACAAAGCTCAGAACCCCCTTTGTATTCTTCTGTGACTCCTTACTGTTTCTTTGTGAGTAGGCACCCCAGCTGCCTGTAGTTCTTTGAGTTTGTACAGGACATCACTCTGGTGTGTGTTGAATTCTTTGGCATATTTGTGAGCAAGGACTTCAATTGAAGCAACATCACCCTGAAATGATCCAATAAGAATAAAATGAAATAACTGCTTAGTTTTTGGCAACAATGTTTTATACACGTATAAGCAATGGATTATAGTATTATAGTAATTACATACTACATATGTACTAATAAAAAGAGGGTTATTCAAACAAGTAATAAATATAAAATATCACAAAAATCATGTTTCCTATAAATTTATAATATTTTTGAAAACAATGTATTACATAATAAATATATCACTTTAATTGCACCCAATAACAAACCAATCAAATGTCATCAAAGGTCAATAATTCTCACTTTACATATTTTGATAAACTAAAATGCTATAGAGTACTTTGACCAAACATTTAAGTTGGGCTTCATCATGCATCACTTGCCCCTTTCAACACAACATAAATATTTTTGGCATATTTCTACTGTTTACATTTATATTCAAGTTGAAATGAGACTGAACTTGGATTACACTTTTACAGTCTCCAACAACCATATACAATTCCACCCTCTGTGTAGATAACATTAGACAGTGTGGTGCAGTTTCACACTGCCCATTCACTGAAGTGATCTGTCACCTTTATCCCTGATTAATGGCAAAATATAGGGACCAGTTTTGGTCATTAATCTCTCCTTTTGGCATCATGGTATCAGACAGCTCAGTGATCTACACAAAGAACATACCAGATCTGAGTAAATACCCTCTCCTGCCACCTGTCGCCATACCCTCTTAATTTGCTTCTTCACTTGGGCAACAAAACCTAATTCCAGCTATCAGTCCTGTTTGCAATGATTTAGATATGTTGGTGAGAAACGAAGCAGGTATTAATGGGCCATTAATCTGATGGAATGGCATCTGCTGGCCATTCTGAATGATAAAACATTGGGAACACCATAGTGGCAGCCACCCTGATCCTTTTTAGAATAGGGACAACACCTCTCCTCAGTCTCCTCTAGCTAGAAATGATGTTTGTCATTACCATTCATTGATGGGCAACATGAAGTATCAGACTGTGCCAAAAACTTTTAGCCTCCTAGCCCTTTTGGCTAACAGGGTCTAGGAATATACAAGACTAAAGTAGAAACAGTGGTCAGTAACTGAAAAAAATTACCATATTTTTCTGACTCTGATACAATATTAATGGCATTTGGTATGGGGCCCAGTGTTGAAATTAAAGACTGGAGTTGGTGAGGTTTTTTAAAAAGATTAAAAAAGACTGATAGTGCCTGAGGAGAGAATATATGCTGGACTGACACTAAGAAGTGGATCCAAACTTGTTTCAGGTTGCATATAATCAGATGGTACCGTGGATGGGGGTGGTGGGTGGGTCTATTTTGCTACTTAAGGTAATGCATCATACCTAATAATTCACTGTGCAATTTGATTACAAGGCCTTACCAGTCTGATGTGTGTAAACTACTAATATCTATGTGATAAAACTCAGACAATAAATGATAGTAACAATGGTACACAAGCTGATAGTCTTTAATCAAAGCAGCCTATCTACAAAAGACATATAAAAAAAAAACCAAATTATAATACCCAGAAGAATCGCTTATGTACCAAAAAGAAAAAAAAAGAGACTGTTGGAGTGACAGCTAAATATGTTTCCTATCATTCATACTGGTAGTTGTAGTAACCCCTGACACATTGGCCAATCCTAAACTTTTGATGGTGGCAATGTTAAATAGATTGAATCCAGAAACGTACCAAAAGTCAGGCTACACAACTGGACAGAAGGAATTCAAAAACAGCTGAAGCCACAACAGTGGGAATATTTTCATTTTCTCTCAAATACAGAAAAAGAAAAAACATCATTCAGTAACCACCCAAGTTCACAAGTGACTGCATACATGTTTTGCAAATGTTTGTAGTCCACAAATATTGTCAAGGGGACAATTAATTTTTTTCTTACTCAAAAATTACCTCTTGTATATTTGGCCAATATCTGTGTTATTACCTTTTGAGGCATGTGGCTTGCGTATACGTTGCATATAATTGAACAAGTTTAGCAAATAGTGAATAGGTCTAAAGAATAAAATATGTGAATGCCTATAACATAATGGTTTAATTTCCTACAATTCTCTTTCCTTATCTACTACAGCAATGTCTCCACAAATCATTTGTCAATTGCTAACATTTCCTCACAAGTCTTAACCTCCCCTCTCTTCAATCACATGAAAACCATAATTGTTCTACATTGTCAGCCAGCATGTTTATTCTATTTCGCCAGACAATTTTTTGCTACAGATCAAATAGAGATGAATATCCCCTCCAGAGGATTGAGAGATGCAACAATATCTTTTTCAAAGAGGGGCAACATTGGGCCATTTGTTAAGGGCATGCTACACAGAAACTTCACAAATACAGCACCCTCCTCCTTTACTGATAGAACACAATCGATAATAGGGTTCATCCCCTCCCTTCCATCCATACACTTCACTCCAGACAGGCGTGTTCTGAATAATCCACCAACGCTATTTATACATTCCTCATTCAACAAATTGTAATTTCCTTAGATAATCAGTTATCTTTTTCTGATAGATTTCTTCCAGGCATAATTCAGACACCCAGGCCTTTTACTCATAAATCATTTAACAAATATTTACATCACACAATTAAGAGGGAAGGTCCTTAACAATATCTATAGGTTGAGAGGAAAGGTAAGCACTTAAAGCCGACAAAGGCCCAGGAACCTTTGGCTCCAATATTGCTGATAAATTTGCAATTCTGCCCTCTTCGTGAGAATCCACCACTGTTATTTCATTTGTGGTAGAGTGCCCAAATACTATAGAGTAACAGTTCCCTGTCGCCAGCAAAGTCTGCAAGAAAGGACCCAAGTATCGCTCACCACGTAATTCTAGCAGGGCCGATAATTTGTCCAAACTTTTACTTATTGACTTGTAACAGGCCGATCAAAGTTGTGCTATTCAAACAATTATTGAGTGAACTGATCAATGGAAAGGTTTTTTTATTCTCCTGATTATGTTAAATGGGCTGGTGAAAGAGTGCTTTACTACAAAATGGAATGGGATAATATTTTTGTGTTCTCTTTTCTCTGCTATCATATCACCAATTCACCTTTCCCCCTTCAACATTGTGTGAGACAACAAAACACTTTCTCCTACACCTTATTCAGTGAACATCAAAAGCTATAGATTAACCGCATAGGTCTGGGTTTTTTCTTTCACAATGTAACCAAACTTAGAAATACCTTTGCTTTCTAATTCAAAATAAACATTTCTATTCACATGCAGCAATGTCGTAGCAGCAGAAGTATAGATCAGACTTTTTCACTGTTAAATTTATTCTTTGAGAGTGTTCCACATATATCAATATTCAAAACATCAAGGTAGTCTTTTTCATGTTAAGTAGCCTGTCTATGCTATCAAAGCTGCCCATCACATCAAAGTGTCATGTCCGAGAGGCTAGGTGATGAAAAGCCATTACTTAAAGAGAGAGGTCCACTTCAGCAGACCATATCTATTTTGTATCCAAACACCATTCAACTGATGGGATGTTTGCTATACAAAGTAAGACAATTTTTCAATGTTTTTCTGATGGGGCTTTTGCTTCCACCCTGCTGTCAACAGACACCCTGTCCAAACACATCATGCAGGAATAATGTGTTCTTTTTAAATGGCACCCATGGAAGTCTGACCATGTAAAACACTTTGCTTCACTGTTTCTTTTATTCCATCTCCCCTTTCTGACACCAGAAAGAACAAAATTTCAACCTAGAGGCTATTCTGTGGCATGTTGTTTTCATCAGAAGGGTCGAACAAAATTTTAGACTCTTTCTGCCAAGAGATGACATTATTTCTTTGTTGGTGGGCCAGATTATTTTTTTCCTGTAACACAATACACCAATAGATGCCAACAAGTTAAAGTGAAAAGAAAACATAATGACGCTGGGAGTGAGAGATAAATGGTTTCTTCTTGCAGTAATCAATTTGGGCATAAATAATAAATTGCTTAATGATTACAGGGGAGTGGGGTCAATTAAGGCAAGAACTAGAGCGTATTGTCATTTGACTACCAGTCATATTCTCGGTTAACTGTGTAATTTGATTTTAATCACAGGTAATACAATCACCTGAACTCAGGTGGAAAAATTACTTGACTTTGGGGTTTTACCCTGGAATACCTCATATCAAGCAATATCTTTATACAATTTTCCAATATCGTACCTGGGCTTCTCCTTGCAATCATTATTTTTTGTGTTGGCCAAATAAAATAAAGTTATAATCAATTCAATTATAACTTTATGAGCAAAAAGCAAACATTTGACATAATTTTCTTTGTTTCTTTCACAGAAAATTACCCTTAAATCATTAGTAGGTTAGTCCAAACCTTGACATGACTGTCAAAGCAATTTAATGTATTTTTTTCAACTATTCTCTGTATGAAGTGAACTAAGTGTTCATCAGTACATTTGATTGTCCACAATAATCTGAACATCAGGGTACTAAGCCCAGGTTAGGCGTTGAATGCTTTCTGTTTAACTTTTACACCTGTAAGACCAAACTCACTTTTTTTTCAATGTTTTGTTCATTTTATGTGCACAGGTGGATGGAGTCTTCTTACTGTTTGATTTGTTTATTCACCTATCCTCAATGTTAACTATATAGAAGGCACATTATGAGGTAATCCTACTCTAACATTACATATATATTCACACTACCACCTAAGTGGAAGTAATCATACATAAACAAACAACGCTCAGCTGTACCTGTCTTGGAGAATTCATCATACTCATGTTTTTCATATCCCATTTATTTTACCACCCATTGTGTTGAGAAGTTAGCTTCTGATTGCGAGGGTTTTAGGTTTCTGATGTGGAATGATCAGAACAAGGCTGCACCTGTGACACCTCCACATAGGAGATTATTAAAGTCTAACTATTCACTATTTCTAAAACAGAAACTTTTATTACAAAAGGCAGGGTAATAAGATTCTCTAAAAAAATAAAATTATTTCACAACCCCTTGAATTATTCTGGTATTTAGGGGAAGCATTTTTCTGGTATTCTACAAGTTAAATTGCAAAAGTTTGGCATACTGATAAAAGCTTGAGTTTCTTTAACTGATGTGTCATTTCATTTGTCATCATAATAAGAGCCCAGGTTCTCTGCACCTGATGCCATACATACAAACGCACACCTGTATTGTTCAACTGATACATCTTAAAACATGGAACAGATCTGATCAGTACATAAGGATATACCATGGCAAACAATCCTCATGGAAAAAAGTAATAAATAAGAAAATCCTTCCAGTTAGACCCCTCCTATCTTCCAGACAATATGACCAGGTGAGTGTGTTCATCCTGTTTATTTTTCTGTAAGCCAAGCACTGTTGTACCCAGCCTACACTGAAACCCAACACGGAAAAGGCTGAGCAACTTTCTGTTCATGCACATTGATCCACATCTTGACCAGCAGGGCAATTCTATGATTAATGGTTATTAATGGGTGATAATGAGAGGAAGTGAAGAAAGAGTCATAGGGGAAAAGGTAAAGGGGAGCAGGTGAAAGAAATGTGTAGACAGAGACCAAATATTGATGTCCTAGGTTCAATTACTACAGTTCACTCTGAACCACCACTGCAGTCAGGCAGGCAAATGATCTCACTGTCTGACACTATCCCAAAGTTATCAAGACTAAATCTAAGGAGACAGACTGACACTATTCCATAAAAGTCTCCAAATAATTCTGAAATAATCCAATTAATGACTATTAATAGGTAGGTAAGTTATTTACAGCCGACATATCATGAAATCACCTTCTCCTAAATAATACAATTAGTTTACAGCTGGCTTTACAGGAAACATTTTAACAGTGAGTGAGGTGACAGAAAATCAGTTATAAAAAGGAATCCTTCAGCCATCTGTCAACTATACTATGTCATGGTGTTAATCCTATGGTCATTTATGGCAAAAGGCAGACCACCAACATGAAGGTCTTCCGAAAAATATTTGTGGTAAAATTTATGATCTGTTAAACCTATTGTTTTAGTAGCACATATCACTGTATCAACCATTCAATCAGTCAAATACCAGGTATCATGGTTGTCTGTTTGTTATAATGCTATATTGTCATAATTTTTATGTTCTGCTAAGTCTGAAGCAATGCTATTACTATACATTGAAATACATACTGAAAATAACTATTAAATCTGTAGAAAAATATTTTACCAGTATAACTGAGATAATTAACCAAATAAATAAATGAATAGTATGATGCCAAAATAGATGAGCAAAAGACAGACTTTTGTGCATGCAGGTAGAAATATGTTGGATGTGAACAACTTTGAAGTGGTTTGTGCTCAGAACTCTGACAAGGCAGCCAATCAAACACTTATATCAAGGAAATGCCTAGCAAACCTTCACAAAAATACTTCTCTACCATCAAACCCTTCAGATAATGAAGTCCTTCAAAAATACCCATCCACCTCATTTGCTTTGATATTATATTCTTATGAACTTCCAACTGTTCTATCCAGACAAGTAAAAGGTTTTATACTAAACTGACCATTTATTATCCATATTCTGGTAGTCAAACTATGCTAGAAAGGACCCTTGTATGGCACAATTATCAAATGGCCTTAGCCCTGCTGGGTGTAACACTGCAGGTCATAGCTTTGAAGTTGTGCATCATCTTATCACCTGTGTAAGGTAGGTAGTTACAGTAAGTCTGCAGTATTGTCCAGGACAAGGGAAGGTGAGAGTAACAGCTGTTGAGGGAGGAAAATCTGTGGACATCGTCAAATTAAGTGAATGGGCCTGATTGTGTATCTTTGTGCCAAAGGTAAACAGCAGCTGGCAAGGATAAATCTCTCATAGTGCCCCATACACTGTCTGCATCCATTTTCCATAAAGTACATTCTATATCACACAAAGCACACATGTACTCACTGTGGCAAATGTACTGGATGTAAACAGGGAAAAATGCGTTTAACGTGGGCAGCAAAACAATGAGCACCATTTTTTCGGTATTTTTTCCTGCAATATTCTTGTAAACTGTCTGCTTTGTCCAACTAAGGAAACAGAAATCATGATTAACATAACATATAAAATCCAAAACGTAGGCAGGCAAGTTAGTGAATCTTAACCACATTTACTGTAACCAACAAAAAGTCTCTTTGTGTTGAACAAAATGTTGGACATTTCAGTAAATAGGCTTTCTACAACAATGACCTTCCTATCACTCTTTGATGAAAGTATAATTCTCTACTGCATGAAGTAATTTCCCTAATCTAGTTGCTCTATGGACATAAGTCCTATGATTTTGCTAATGTTGAAGGGTACATTAAGGCTTCATTCACATGGAAAGTCTATTTTCTAAAAATCTATTTTCTATTCGCAGTATCTTATGATCATGGTCTAAGATATCATAAGACATACCGCGAATAGAAAATAGAATTTAGAAAATAGACATTGCATGTGAATGAAGCCTAAACCCGAATATGACATGTGGCAAACAATGTTCACATCTTGTGAATTATACTGAATGCTGGAATTATAGAAATATTGTATTTTAATACAATAAAACCTCAACTTGAAGGTCTATAACATGTGAAAACATTCTACAGAAGAACATTGTTTAAAGTTTCAGATATTTTACCAGCCTTTCACATATTGCTGTTTAAACTGATTAAACTAAAGAAAACGACATTAAAAATTATGTTTGTACCTTGATCATCACTAATGTTGGATTTACAAATGTCTAAATGGTTGAATGTTTTTCATTCCTGAGTGTTTAGTCCCTGAAGTGTTGTACTGTAACTACATTTCTCAAATAAAGGCATTGCACTCAAACTTTGTCAAATTACCAAGCACCCTTTTCCTTTCTTCCTCTTTTGATTGGAATAGTGAAGTGTATTTGTAAAAAGTTAATATCTTAAACATCTGCCAAGTCTTGGCCTATTATTGAAAGAAAATTACTTGGATCGGGATGAAGTTTATCATAGGTCAGGGTGATGTTATGACCTTTTTAAAAGTGGAAATGTCTCAGCTGATTGGATAGGCATAGTGCCTCTTCTCTCAAGAAGTCTCCAAGTCTATTGATTGTTGGAGTCACCTTCTGCTCATCTGCACAGATGAAATTGACAACTTCTGATGTTGTCAATTACAATGTTTTTTCCAAGCATAACTGAAACTGACAAGACAGTAGTTGTCAGTTTCCCATTGTAGATAACGCTGAAATGAACATGTATACAGTGAGGTAAGAAATCCCCTTAGAGGAAAGAATGTATTACCCTTCTTGCTAAGATGCTTAGTAGTTACATTGCTTTAATCAGATACTTGTGGCATATGTGATCCCCAAAGCAACCTGCTGTCATTGTTAATTACAGGAAACCAACCTGAGCTATGTCAGATGCAGCAGCTCATCTGTAACACTACTAGAATATCTTATCCTCAAGTGTACTAGGCACTGATAATGAGCAGTCTATTCTATGCCTACAGCCCCTACAGAGAGCACACTTCCTGATATAAATTGGAAATGCCAACAAATACACCCAACCTTTTAATAGTTTCTATATAGTAGTTGTATTAATCACAAAAAATACTCTAATGCACTTTCCTACCTATGTCTTTATTGTGACAATGTCTTTATCTAAAATTTTAAATGCACTTAGAAATATCTAAGCAGCATATTGTGCCTTTCATTTTATATAGCGGAAAGGCTTTCAGTATATAAATCACAAAAACAAATCTATAACTGTTGATTATGGCTGATGGTTTATATATTTGTTATGAAGATATCTCCAATCCCACTGGTAGTCAAAGATGAAAACTTTTCAACACTAATGAAATAAAGATGTCTTAATAATGTCAATTTGAGCTGAGTAACCACTTTTTCTTCCCATCTGTCTGTCGCCACTGCTCTCTCTCTCTCATGACAATAAATGTGAGCAGAGAGATGCAGAATGAGCCTCACCAGCAGGCAGCAATTAATGTCAATTTATTAATTGAGCGGCTGTGAGAAACTAATGGTCACAACATTAGGAGCCAGACACAGCTTTTGTCCTGGTTATAAAAGCCCTATTCTTATGATTTAATCACCTCTTCTTTGCAATAATAATGATATCAATATTTTATCAAACGCACAGGTAGAGTTTAACAGGCCCCACTGCTTTCAATGATCTTTCTGATAACCTGAGGTGTCTACAGAAGATTTGCGGTGCATGGCCCCAACCCATGCCCTGTGACGGAAATAGAACCGTAATTATAACATAGCAATACCAAATTATACAGAGATATATGTAGAGATATTTGTTCTTTACCCAACCCAAGTGCTTTGCTTTGATCAGTACACTTTATTTAACCCATTCTGTTCGCCTGTGAACTTGCCGAAAAGCACACTATTGGGAATTATGTCCACAATAGGTCAATGATTTTACATAATGACTTTAAAGAGCAATAATAATTCTCTTGCATAAACAGTTGTGGTTTGTTTGGGTTTGTAGGCCCATGACCATATACTCCTATATAATTTTCATAGCGGAACTTTGTAGGTGGGTGAAGTAAAAACACATAAGAACAAACATTTTTAGAACATGAAGTGATTAAGTACCTGGGAAACTTTTCTGATTACAGAACAGCATTGATTTTTATTGAATGTGACATACAATAAAAAGTGTTATTTACTTTTGTGGGCCTACTGTCTGTGCAAGGAAGTTCGGCCGACTTACCTGACTAGAAAGTTGAGATAGATCAATACGATCTTGTGATAGTTTTTCCAGAATAATTGCAGTTAATTTCTTTTGTGGAATAACAACAAGAGCATTCTTTCCCTCTTCATACTCGTCTACCCTGTAGTCCCGAGGCAAGTAAATGTCTTTGGAAGGCGAAGTGGGTGTTGTGTCTGTACTACTCGAGTTACTGAGAGGTCTCGGAGAAACTTGGTCATTGTATGGGTAATTTGTAACGCCTGGTTCTTCTAGTGTAAAATATACTGAAGTGGCACCCTCCTCTCGAATCTGGTGTACAGCTTTCAAGATTTCTTTTCTGTGGCTCTTTTTAACAACTCCGATAGCGTCCAAATCATCTTCTCCGATTTGTTTGCAAACTTCCAAGTCGTCGTACCCGTTGTCTAAAAATGCTTGAGTATATCCGACAAAATTCAGAGACCTCAGCCAGTTTTCGACGATGTTCTCCTCCATAACGCATTGGTATATATGTGTATTTAGCGTCTACCTAACTATATTCACTTTTCTTAACACATCCATTATAAACACAGAGACTACTTGCGGCACACTTCACGCTCACTCGGAAAGTACAGTCAACTACTGACATTTCCACTGCGCGCGCACTACTGCGCCATCTGACGTCATTTTGGGGAAACCCTCCACTTCGCGGAATAAAACGATTCCGCCATCAAAGAAAAAACAAATAAATAAATTGACAAACAATGATTCACCACCTGCCTTAATACCTATTCCTGCTACATAATGTTTATGCCTCATTCAAGTTTTGCGTTTGAGAAAAACCAATGAAAACAGAATCATTATTTGAGAAGTGCTTACAATAGCGCGTTATGCAGAATCCTCGTGTAGCCTCATGTTTGACTTGAAGACCATTGTAGGCCTCAGATTATTACATCTATGGAAATGGCAAAGTACTTTCACAACTCAAGTTCAGGATAACCAATGCGACAGAAATATATGCAACAGTTTTGTATTTTTATACAGCCATGTTATACTTTTCACTTCATTACAGCCCAAATCATGTGTGTGAATTCTGCATGAACATGAATGTTATTAATAGCTTGCATCCTTAGGCAAAATCATTTTTGCATAATTTACAGCCCTACACATTTGTTTTTTGACTCAGTCCCAAAGAGTCATACCCTTGAGGGAGCATCAGCTATGGTCTTAATGACCATTAAACTGAATTTATGATTAGCAATATATTGCTCTCAGTAAAATACATTCAGTTCATCAAGGCAACAGGCTGCAGTGGTCAGCTTCCAATTTAAATTAATTTAGAGTTTGAATTTCTAAAATAAAAACTGACATTTTTCTGACATATGAAGTTTGACACCAGATCAATATGTGCGCAAATGAGTTCTTCGTAAATTGTGTTAGGTGTCCCTTCAACAGGTCAGCCCATTGTTTTCAAGAACTGATTGCTGTCAAATTCCAGCAGTTTTTTCAATTTCATCAGGCAGACAACCCAGGGTTTTCTTTCAACCAGAAAGAAGAAAAATGGCCTCAGCGTAGGGTGTATTCATCTAGTGTATTCATCTTTATTCATGTGGTATGGTGATACAGTCCCCTGGAGAGTTAGATATGTCACTAGAGTTGACATCCTCAAATCATAAATTGATAAAATTTGCAGTGCTTTAATATCAAAAAAATTTAGTAGACAAAAGCAAAGCTGATCATATTTCAAACTGTTGCATTAAGTATCTTAGTCAAGCATGAGACAATAATTAACATGGTGTGTATTTTGTCTGATGCATATGAACAGCAATACCAGCAATACCTTATTTCTATTCTATGCAATATCGTAGGTTTTTAGAAGTTGTATACTCAGTCTGAAGGAAACTTTTTAAATATGTAGAGGAAGCAGTGAAATATATGTTGTAACTAAAATGATTTTACACCTGCAAAGGGAAGTACAAAGTTCGGTTATATAAATACATATAGCCAATTCTGTAAAAAAAAAACTCAAATACTAATAAATTAAACCATGCGAACATGTCAAATTACTTTGACATATACATTAATAACAAGTAACTGCAAATTCAGATATTTCAAGGTGCATCAGTTATTTCATGTCTTAACTATGGGTGATCTATCTTAAATGAGTCATATAATAAGTGGTGTAGAAAATCAACATTTTTGGGTTCTATTTACGATATCTGAAAACAAAATAATATAATTTTGTAAGTGAACTACATTGAATTAATCAATAAAAAAACTGCATTCTAGGAAACTTGTCAACTTTTAATTGCTATGCAATCAATTTTTCAAAGGAAAAAGATATATAAATAGAAACCACTTATTATATAATATGAAAACAAGTGCAGGGAAATAATAATTCAGATTCATAAGTTATCACCACATATAAACATTTGCCCCCACTTAGGGTGTTGCCCCCTGACTGGATGAAAACTTGTATCTTGCAGGTTTATGCCCCCTTACAACTTATGTCACAGTGAGCAAACACAAGCAGAAACAGCTCAAAAATGACTAATAAGAAGCCACTTAAAACACAGGCACACTTGATAACATTGTGGCTGATGTTGGTCAACTTATTAACCTAGAGTAATTCTTTTGTTAAGGTGTCTGATCAACTGTAAGGCCGCATTAACAATAGTGGACTAACTACTCCGTAGATCAAATATGGTGACCCACTTAAAAGCTTGCCATCTAACCCACTAATGGACACTGAATAGATTCCCTGCTAGGATTACGCAACGAGCATTCAAGTGGGTCGGCCATATTTGATTCATGGACCAGTATTTCTGAAACTATATGAACCTTAGTGAACACCACTAGTTTTATTATTAAAGGCAAAAATTGAAGTCAAGTGTAAGCTTTATGTATCTGAGAGAGATGGCATCAGCAAATAATATACTATTCTCATTGTCTAACAGTGGCAATGACCATTTGAGAAGAGATTAACATTTGGATGACAAATCTAGAGACAACTTCGCACAAGACTTTCAAAGTAAATTGTAACAGCCCTGTCAAATTTCGTATGGGCCAGACTACAAATATTTAATTCCTTAAACACTTGAGATCAGAAAAGACACACATAATCTTTTAACAGTAGTATTACCTTATGCAAATGTAGACAACCTTCTTCTGCAGACATTTTAAGATATTCAAAAGATTTAACGACCAGTTTTTCTGAGCTGTGTTTCTTCTGCCCAGTTGTTGTTTTCTCAAATGTGAAGGCAAGAGCTCATGATGACATGAACTGTACTCCCAAAATCTTCCTGTACTAGAATCCTTAACAGAACCTGAACCTGTGAAGCTTGACATGCATTCATAAGTACATCTTAAAAACTCATCTAGCCTTAATGTCATGACTTTTTGTCACAATTTATCTTTTATGCTGACTGTTTCGTCATCTCATTCTGATTTCTGTTTTTGTCTGAAAAATTCCAATTATCACTCATACATATCAGCATACATGTCTTGTCCCATTTTGATGAAGGTTTCTTTTTCAGAGGGTGTCATCTGGTGTACCATATCATCTGTTACCTCATGGAATGGGATCTTTTTGTCACCTATTGTCACCATAGGCTCAGCCTCATCATCCTCATCACTTTCCATTTCATCAACAGCTAAGAAATAGAAAATATATGGTATATAAATCAAACATTATATCTTTTCATTTATTTCTATTCTTTGGAATTGACTAAAAATAAATTAATGAAAATTTAAGAGGTAAGAAATGCAAACAAATAGATGTAATGTCTTCATCATTTATAAACCAAATTATTTTCTTTCTCACTTCAGAGTTTTGTATGAACAATTATATTGAAAGATCAAATAGATTTTTTGAAATTATTCAAAAACAATCTTGGGCTGGGGTGGACTTTCAATGTACTAAGAAAGATCAAGAAAATAAGTTTTTTTTCTACCCTAGAATACTACCCTGGAATAAAATCCAAAGTTTACTCATCACAGTGGAATGCGACATCTACTAAATTTACAAAAATATTTTATGCATTGTAACATTTTGCAAAATAACAGCCGGAATAACAGTAATTTCCAATCTCATTTATCAGTAACCTCACAGACATGAAGTCTAAACATCCTGTTATCAATGACACCATCACACCTTTCATCGCGTTCATCTAAGCCACAAGAGCACCCCTCACGTCACCTTTATCAAGTGTTAAGACCACATGACAAGATCCCCTATTAACATACGTGACCACAGATGATGGGACAAGATGTGCACCAGGGTGACAGTTTCACTGGTTTACAAAAGATACCTGGTATTAATACTTTACATGGTAAAAACTGGGTTTCTGTTAAAGTATTTATCAATTAATAAAGTTATCAGAATACCACATATCTGCAAAATTAGCCCCCCCCCCCCCCCCCCCCCCAATGCAGGAAAACTAATGTTTTTTTTTTTCTTTTTCATAATTTCAGGTTATTTGCATTGATCATTCTAATCTAGGACCCTCTAGATAAATTTGTTTTTGGATCATAGTTGTAATAAAATTGCCCAAGTCACCAAGGGCGGGACCAGCTGATACATAGACAGCTATTATCTATTCTTATCTACATGTTTATCTTCATCAAAATTCTTTTCAACAAAATGCTTTCAAATGGAAAGGGGTAAGTAAACAGTTACACCCTCATAAGTCTCAATAAGGGGCAATTATTGTTAGGTGGGGTTATGCTTAGCATACTTTTTGCATGTAACAACATCTGCTGTAGTTATTTCCAGCTCTAAAATTATTTGTATGCATAATTTTGGTGTGTTTTCTTGTATTTATGGAACATAACATTACCAAAAGATGGTGTTAAGTGCAAATATATTACTTTTTACTTTGCTGAAGTAGCCAAATATATTTCACATATCACTCCCACTTTTTTATGAAAATCGCATTGTACAAAATTAATGTCTCCATAACACTGAAGAGAAATTTTAATGCTTGTGAAAAAAGTACGTAAACGTGACAGTGATGTGCGGTGAATATACTGAACAACCTTGTCAAACAATGCAGAAAGGGAATGGAATATATCTGTGCATCACAATGAGGAAACAGTAGTCCATCTGCCTGACTTCTGGTTACAAAAAATGTGAATAACAAGAAAAACGAGATACTGAAATATGAAACATTAACATGCACTATTCCATGTCTAGACTTCATGTCTCTCTCAGAAGGATGTAAAAAATGTAACATACTTATCAGTTCATAAATCATACATCTTAAGGGAAATTGTAAAGGAACTTTGGAAAGGGTAAAAAATTATTTTTGTTTCACTGGGTGTAAAATATAAAGACCATCAAAGGACTTGCTTCTGCCCCCTCTAACCACTCCCCTTCTTCACACACACACACACAAGATTTCTGTCTGGGTCTTAGTCTTTTTCTATTCTCTTTAAAAATAAAAGCTGTAGCCCTGTAAATCTGGTGCCCCTCTAACATTTTTGCAAAAACAGTATTCCAACGCAACACATATATGCAACTAAACAAGTTCCTGAATCTCAACAGATATGAGCCAATCTTAGAAAACTATTAACAATCATTTCATGAAAAACGCACTGCCCTTTATTCCACTGTGGATATTGTACTTTCTTTAATCCTGATAAAAAACGCTCATGCTTGATGTTAAGATCACTTGTTAAATGGGATTTTCCAGTTTACTGTAATTGCAGCTTCAAATGATTTACAATTCAGTTTAGAAGTATATATGATATTGCATCACAGCAAATAAAATTATCTTGGGGGGGGGGGGGGATCACTCTTTACTCATGCCACACTTGTTAACTACAAAACAATATCTTTTTTGTCCTATGTTATTCATTTAGGATATTTAAATTTGTATTGTTAAGTTTGATCAATTACTCTGGCAAGTCATCTAGTCTTGATAATGAAGACCAAAAGAAAGCCAAATGATGGATGTAAGTATGTAACAGTTGTAAACTCAAATATTTCACATTGAGCAAAGGATTATTTTCCCACTTTTGACCAATTTGAATAATTTCAACTCTTCTTTCAGTGGATTTTTTCCAATTCATTTTATAAATGTCCAGACTAAATGTTGAACACTTTTTTTAATACCTCTATGAAAACCCTATGTTTTATTTCTTATTTGCAATAACAAGCCTGTCTAACGCAATGTGTTACCTAAGTTTTTTTTTTTTTTTTTTTTTTGGGGGGGTAGGGGGGTCTTTGGTTTGGGCCAGTAGATTCTCAGACCCTGGTGGTCTATATGGCCTGTAAGTTGGAGAGTATTTGGCATAGATTGTCATTTTCAAGTATTTAATAACATATCACATTTTAAAAGAAAGAATTTGTGTACTTAGATAACAATCCTTTTAGCTTTAATTGATGACAGCCATCATCTGACTGTTACACCCCATTTCCATAGATTTTTAGATCGATCTATCCCTGTGGGGAGTCTCACTAGATTACTGTCAGCTTGGCCGGCTTAAGCATCTGTCCCGCCTACTAAAAGCTGTAAGGGGGTAATTAACTATGGTGCCCGCTCGGCTGACTGCAATTTAGCGTGAACCCCCAGGGCGTTAGGTCGATCTAAAACATAATCTTTAGGTCGATCTAAATCTCTGGGAAAGCACCCTTACATGTTGTGTAGATTGGCTGGTCACCGTCAGTTATATTTTTTAAGTTATAATGACAGGAGAGGATCTGATTTGAATTTAAAAAGACTTTTTTAAAAGCAAAATGAACAGAACAATAAACGTGGTAAGCTTTGAAAAATGTGATAACCCACAATGAAATAAAAGACAGCACCTTAAATATGGTATATGATAATATTGTTGCTGACAATGTAACTAAACTCCCCTCACCTTCAGCACTGCCTCCCAGGATGGCTGCAGCTGGCTTTGATGCCTCATCTCCAGAGTCACTAGATGAGCTTTCATCATCACTGCCCCCAGGTAAGCCTGGCAGGCCCACAGCAGCAGTCTTCTTCTCATGTACCAGAAGTGTGCGCATGATGTCCTCACTGTCCTGTGCACGGACAGTGGAAGGTTCTTGTGTTGACAGACCTGGTTTAATTTCCTGGAAAGCAATATGTATGAAATATATTATGTACTTTAAAATTAGTTCAAAGTGAAAAGGAAGAGCACACAATTTAGACATAATTAGGACAATAAAGTTATAATATTAAATTCTTTCATCAACAGCTAAAAATCAGTTTTTATCATTCAAACGTTTCAATTTTAAGAAAATTCCAAGTTATTTAACAACCCCAAAGACCCTCTGAATAAAATCCCTGCATTTGGCCAACATGTTTTTCAAAACATTTACAAAAAGAATTTACCTGGGGTGTTGTTTCTGCCACAGCTCCATCCACAGTGCTTTCCACCATCCAAATAGGACGTTCCTTTACTGGTTTTGTCTCAGATCCTGTCTGGTGGTCTTCTTCACCCATGCTGATAGTGACTGTATTTTCAGCAAAACCATAAGCCCTGTTCTTAGTGAGTTCTCCACTCCACACCGTCTTGTCCCCTGCTGCTGGATTCTTGGGGTGGGAACTTCCATGAGCCCGCCTGAATTAAGACATAGAAAGTTATCAGCAGTTCTAGTAAAGCACAGTTAGGCCTATAAAAATACTATAAGTGCTCTCTCTATCAGATAAACAGGCAAAATATACCATCACTAAGTTCTTTGTCTTTAACCAGTTGCTGATTATTCTTATCTTCCTGTGATTCTTTTAGTCCAACAGTATATTTATATCATCTTACAAGGGATGTCAGAGAGTGTCTTCCATTAAAAGATTAAAATATTCTGAAATAGTTTTAAAAGAAGCATTGTAAAATTATCTTAACATTCCTCTGCTCATTCTACTCAATTCTACACACCCTGTAATTGTCCGAATATCTGTGGGTTCTGGTTCAAGGATATCTTGTGAGAGTTTCACATCTTCCACCTCGCGGAGCAATTTGTATAATCTCTCCATTTGTTCATTAAATCTGGCCAGCACTGCCCTGGCATCCTGAACTGGCACTGCACTCTCATCCTCCACCACCTCTGTTCTACAGTATGTACACCTGAATGTGAATGTGGCCATGTCTAACAATTCCTTGGCTTCTAGGTCTGTGTAACTTTTATGGCATTCTGGGCAAATAAAAGAGGATCTGCTGGTTGAGTCCCTTTCTTGTGTCTCAATTTTCCTCCTCATGTGATCTAGCTTGTATTTGACTACATTCACAAAAACTTGATAATTAATGAAATAGTAATTATGCCGTGTGGTTTTCCCTTCAGAATCTGTCTCTACACGCATTCTGACTTTTATAAATCTGTCACTTTTCAAAGTGTTCATGATGGTTCTAAGTTGCTTGCGATCATATTTTAGAAGTTCTGCCATGTCTTCTTCTTTCATACATGGGTTTCGTACTAACATGTCAATTACTAAGGCATACTCTATTCCATAGAAACCCCTGGCTACATATCTTGCCAAAGTTTTCAGTGCTTCTGGAACCTCTGTAAGCACATCTGGTTCACTGGCTGCTACTGCTGTAGACATCCTGATAACCACTGCAAAAATAGAAAATGAACAACTTTATCATTATTAATTTTAACAATTTTAATTATTATTATGATGTATTCAAATGTGAAGTACAGTATTAGAATTACTGATTCATCACAAGGCATCCATACCAATAAATCTTATAGGTAACTGTCCTTGGAAGAATTCTACTCGTATCTGCCTTAAAGGTACATACAAACCGAGCATCGGTGGAGCGTGGATTCCCAGTAACACATGTAAACCACTTCTACTAGTTTCTAATATGACTCAAATAAATTTGACATGCCAAGGGATAAACTGAATAGATCACTCGATCTTTAGACCTTTAGACTGCTCCTTTCTTTAAATTTTTGGTAATAAATTTAACCTACTTTCATGACCTACTTTTCTGCCCCATTGACATACAGCTTAGAATGCCAGCAGAAAAAAAACGTTCAAACATCATTTTCGGGTAAAATTAAACAACGCCTTTTGGTAATTCTCTTAGTTATACTACTTGAAACTATATGCTGGCATTTGGTTGGTTTTAGTGACAAAAATTTGACTTTGTATGCATCTTTAAATTGCAATGCTTAAAGGGATAATAACTCTTTGTATGAGATCTATATTCCACAATAAAAACATTGTGAATAACTCATAGAAATATAATATATTCTGTTTTACCACAAAAATGGCAGTTATAGCTATTATTCTGATATTTGAGCTTGTCTTCAGATCACGTGACCTCCATTGATGGTTATACTCCGTTAAAATCTCTTAAGAGATTTTAACAAAAAACCAAACTTTTAAGAAAAAAAACAGGGACTAACTTTGAAAGTAAAAATGGATTCATTAACCATTGGTAAGTATGGGAAAATTGTTGTTTACTCCAGGAAAATTCATTTTTTGGCCAAAACGAAGAGTTATTATCCCTTTAAATAATGACACAGATCTGATGTACTTAACCATTTTGCAGTCATTCTGTGCAAAAACAATAATTGCCCACAAGTTCATGTTTCTTTTACTTGCATCAAGATGACCTTATACTGCTAGCTAACAAGTTAAGAATACTTGTCTTAGTATGTCACACATTTAAAAATGTCCCAAAGTACGTCATATTTTCTTTATCTACATATCCTGCAAAACTACTAATTCAGACATTAAAAAATATAAAATTCCTTACATAAAAGTATCTGGCATTGATAGTACCTTCTGATATTTATAGGAAGACATGGCATTCTTAATGACCAAATGACTGGAAAATTATTAAATTGAGAATGGAATTAAACATCTAATCCAAGAGCAGGGATGGGTCGAGTAATGATACGTTGGTAACAGAAAATGGCTTTTTTCCAGACAAATTCACTTTGGCAGGTAAACCCCACATAGAGTATCCTTAAGATGAATTAGCACCAACACTCTGGGACAGTCCAATTTAGATTTAAATGGCAAAATGGAAAATACAGCAAAAAGGCAGTCATTTTAATAGCTGATGTGGAATGGAGATAACTGTTTAGTTGCTACTCTACTCACATGAGAGTGAGACTATCTACAAAATTGACTGCAAATATACCCCCCCCCCCGCCCCAAACAATTAAATTGAAAATAAATATTTTTACATTGTAACTTACATTGCAAAGCTCTTAATTTTTTTTTTTCATTTTAAATGTAAATTACATTTTTAAAAGCCAATGAACATAATGTTTCAATGTATCTAATGATTTAATTTTCATTATAACTTTATTTGATTACATATAAAATGAAAAAGCTTTTTGTATATCACTGCGTTTAATTTCAGATGTTAGAATTCAATTTTGACATACATCTAGTAAATGCATTACATTTCCATCAAATCGAGAATTATTTCAACGGGTAGAGAAGTTACAACAATAACCTCATAATAAAAACACAACGACACGGATCGTCGCACATTTTACATTAAAGAAAACACTTCACTTGACGGGCATCTCAGTAATTACTACAGTCATATGACAGCATCTTACCAGTTTAGGGTTTCGGTCGTCTACAACATCTAATCATAATCATAATCAAAAGCAAAGCCAAACCTCACCTCGCTTTTTTTAACGAAAGTAAGAAAATAATACGCTTCCGATGTCAGTCACCCAAGAAAGGCTTATTTTTAAATAAATATCTTAAAATATCATTGCAAAATCACTTTCAAAAAATTACTCATATCATCATATGACTGGAAAATTACAGAGTAGACACTTTGTTCTTGCTTTAGTTTTTACACTTTATGCGTATACAATAAATCCTAAATTTTATTCAAAGATCAACGTTGAAAAAAGTGTTTATTCCAATCAGTGAACAGTTGGTTTCCATTATGGCTGCCACGGACAAAGTGCGAATTTTGGTTGTAGGAGATTCAGGTCAGTTGTAACCATTATGAAACGTGGTTTGCTTTCTCTGAAATTTACCATATACTTGCACACCATTCTTCTCTTTGAAAGGGTAATATGAGTTAAGAAAATGTGATGATATGAAACTATCAGTGATTACAATTTCGGGGGAGAGATTCATTTCTGTCACTGAAATTCTGTCTGCAGTACGTACCAAGACGGCACCCTGAGCTTCAGAGCTAACTTGACACTAACCTTTTCACTGTAGCCTATCTCCATCGTGTCAAGTAACCTCTGACGAAAATAGTTTGACCTATTTTATATAAGCCAATCGAATCCATGTTTCAAAAATTTTCACCAAAGTTTGGTGAAAACGCTGATTGGTTGATCGTCAATCGGCAATCCTCGGCTGATTCCGCAAGCTCCATACTAACAACATAGTTATTGTCGAGTGCGGAGACATCTGAGTAGTTCCGAGTGCATAACCGTACACAAAGAAAGCATGGAGTATATCGGAATTGAAACCAGAGCAGTATGATGCCCTGCATCATTATCTACTGAGGGATGATGTATTTTGCGTGCTGCCCACAGGTTACGGCGGGGCCGTAGCGATAGTCCGAAGGTTCAATAGTCCGAAGGTTCATTGGTCCGAATGTTCACTATAGAACATTCGGACCAATGAACCCTTGATGAAAAAATCGATGAAAATGTTACCACTTTTCGGACCAATGAACCTTCGGACCAATGAACCTTCGGACTATCGAGACGCCCCCGTTACGGCAAGTCCCTGATATTGAGCCTTATCTCTGATTGGTCCGGATTTGAACAAAGCGCGCTTTGACTCGTTCGCGTTCATTGGCTAGATCGTTCAATGAGTCATTGAGTGCGGGCTTTAAATTTGATTGGCGGGCGGCGGGGGCACTCGAATCTGGTCAGAGGTTACTTGACACGATGGAGATAGGCTACAGTGAAAAGGTTAGTGTCAAGTTAGCTCTGAAGCTCAGGGTGCAAGTCGGCGGCCAACATGCCATTAGAATGGAAATGATAGAAATAAGATTATTTTTATTGTAGGAGTTGGTAAGACATCCCTTGTACATATGATATGTCACAATGAGCCAATGTTAAACCCAAGTTGGACCATAGGATGTTCTGTAGATGTCAAGGTAAGAAATATGCAAAAAGAATATAACTGGTCTCACTAAACACCGAAATGACAAGGAATGACTACAGTGACTTGAAATGACACCATAATATTGCTTTAAACATCACAATAATGTATGTTGTAATATGAAAACATAATATTGTTAATCAAAATTTAAATCTAAATACTACAAATAAACTGGCCAACCTAAAATGCCCAAATAGTACAACACAGCAAAGTACACTATAGACAATGAGGCTGGATGAAAGTAAACACAGGGAATGCTCTGTCTAAAGAAAATTGGTCGATATAAAAGTGAAATATATAAATAGGTAATTTGTGTCTTTAATACAACTTTTTAATTTGGTACAATTTTTTTTTATCATTGGGACCTCTGCCATGTTGCCAAGAAGAGACACTTCTAAACAAAGCATACCAATTTGTCAAGTTGGATCAATGATATTAATAACCTAGTAGAAAATTTTGCCTTTATATAACCTTATTTTTGTGGGAATGCCTGTTTCCTGTGTTAACTCATGTCTATAGTCATTTTCTCTAGTATATTATGCTGTGTTGCAGTGTACTGCACATTTTAGGTGTATCCCAAATAAACTATTTTAACCAAGGTAAGTAACTCCCATTTCACAAAGAAAATGAATCACCTAACAACATCACCTTTGTTTTATGAAGCCAGGTGAAAAAAATCTGCATTTCCGTGATACTGTTAGTTATAATTTTATTTCATTTAATTAGTTTTTCATTTGTGTCATATTTCAAACACATGTATTACAGCATGCCTTCTCTTGCTCACATTTCATGTTTAAAGAAAAATAATAAATTGTTTCTCAGAAATGTCCCATTTTATGTTTCAGTTGCATGATTACAAAGCAGGGACACCAGCAGAAAAGACATATTTTATAGAGCTGTGGGACATAGGAGGATCTTCAAGTCATAAGAATAGCAGATCCATATTTTATAGCCCTGTTAATGGTGGGTAAAAGGGTGACACAAAATATATCATTAATTAGACAACAAGAACAGATTTTATTTTTATTTTTACCAAATCAGTATTTGTATGTATTCTCTACTTCATATTGAGATTTTACATGCCTTTTTTTTTTTGGTCTTGTAAAAGATAAAACTTATTACTGCTTTACAAACTTTCCTTTCCCATCCAGGTATCATTTTAGTCCATGATTTATCAAATAGAAAATCACACCAGAATCTCAGAAAGTGGCTGGCGGAAATCTTAAATAAAGAAGGAAAGGGCATAGAAAATGGGTGAGTTACTTAATCATATATATATATATATATATATATCTTTGGTTAGATTAATGATATTCAATAGTGTAAGGCATATGCACAACTATTCTAATTATGTGAAAAATTCTGTTCCAGTTACTATGATGACTACGATCCAGAGCAGTTTGCAGGAAATCAGATTCCAATATTAGTGATTGGTACAAAGGCTGACCTGGCAGAGACTGTGAAGAAGGAAACACTTTTATCAAGAATGTCATCAATAGCAGAGGAATGTTGTGCAGATGAAATAAATCTTGTAAGTCTCTACCCTTGTCATAACATCATGGGTTTTTACTCACAAATTTAATACAACACATTTTCTCAATATTTTATTTTTGCTAGTCTTTGTTTTTAGTTTCTCAAAAAAGGATTTCTTTTTCTAACTGGAGAATCATTTTTCTGTGGTGTTGAGAAATATGATATACAAAAGAGCAATTTTGTTTGAATTTTGGAATTTGTAAAGTAATTTTGAATTCAATCCTCTGGTTAGGTTTTTTATTTTTATATATTTTTTCAATAGCCGAATAATAAACTGGAATTTTTTAAAGATTTTTAAATTGTTAAGCATTATTATGACTTTTTTTAATATTAAAAAAAAAACCGGAGTATGCATAGTTGAGTTGAATGTGCAATTTTATGTTACAAACATATATATATGATTGGGGTATTTCACAAGTTATTTTCTCTTTGAACACAGGCATGCAATCAAGTAAAATATCTGGCACCAGGATCAAGCAATGCAGTCAGGCTTAGCAGATTTTTTGACAAGGTATGTGGCAATAAAGAAAAATATATTGTTATAAGCTATAAATATACTAACTTTGTTTTACAAAAGACAGTGTTAAAATACGGTTAATAATTTTTAAGGTGTTTCCCAACTAGACTTTTTCAATCAGTGAAAATGTGCCTTGAAAATCAGGGTTATAGCTAGCACCTTCTTCCTTTGGTTCATGTTGCACATTTTGTATGTGCCTCTGCCAGAGTGCTTCAGTGATGTCAGCAGCTAACCAATTGTTTGTACTTTTGTCAATTATTCCCAGAAGAAAAACTGCCATCTTGTCCTGCGTATGTGTTCACATATTCACTTGTTGTTCAAGTCTGGTATTTATCCACCATGATGAGTTTGCATTTAATTGGTACTTATACATGGCACATGGCTTTTAACAAAGAAAGAAGGCTGTAAATGTTTGTAATGTACAGAAAAGATAGCTAAATAGTAAGTGCAGAATATATGCCAAGAGGGACTGGGAATGGAAAGTGATTGGCAGTCATCATGCATTGGATGGTGTTTTCATGCATATTACCTTGAGTGTGTTGGACTGAGAAATTACAGAAATAGGCAAGACTAACTTCCAGTGAGATTTTTACTGAATAAGTGATGGTGGGAAGGGGATTTCTAATACGGAATTCATCATAGCATACTGCAAGTTAATGTTGCAAATGTACCATCCTTTCAATGCAATAAACAGTAGCATCTATTAGCTTCCAAGAAACTTGTTGATCCCAAGGCATAACTTGTCAAAAAGGTAACGAGGATGCACATTTTTTCTTCTCTTTGTACTGCAATTTCAGATTTCTTAAGTACTGGTCAAATCTTTAAATTCTCCAGCCAGAATATTGAAAATTTTTCTAGATACTTGTTCCTGGTCATAGCAATACAAGTCACCAGATGGCAGCACTGGGGCACACCTGAGTCCCCCTCATGAATCTCTCTGATACAAAAATGTCCTTTTTATAAGCCTTTTATTGGTGCTTTTATCAAAACGGTCATCTTTTTTAAAAATATTTTTCAGGTTCTAGAGAGAAGATATCATTCTAGCAACAATTTACAGGTATGTTGCAAGTCAGACAATTGATATATTATGAGCCCAATAAGCTTTAAAAAAACAAACAATTCTCACAAGAACGTTTTCCTCATCATTTGAAATGGAATAAAAATCACCCTAAGTGTACAGCTGTCAGTATATGACAAAGTTTATTTCTTTGAAAAAATCATGAAAATACTTTGAAATACATAATATTACAGAATACAGTATGATATTGAAATGTAATGTAATAATTTTCTATCTATTTGCTTAGACTTCCCAGTCACCAGTAGTAGACAGGCGGCGCCCTGCAATGCATTACAGTAAATCTTCGCATGTGGATTGAAACCCATACAGTACAGAAAGCATGAAACTATACTGACATATTGTAAAAGAGTTAGGTATTCAAATTTAATGTAGTGGATACTTAACTTGTATAATGTCAGAGTGACAAGTTTAAACAGTTGGAATCAAGTTACAGATTCTTGGACATGCTACCTAATGAGTTACCAATAAGTGGAAGTGGCAAACATGTAACAATAGACTTCAGAATATAGGCAGATTTAACTGACAGAAGACCTGTTTTAATTCACTCCTTTAACTTAAATTCACAATATAACAGGTACATCATAAAATTAGTTCCAGTTTGGTTATATATAGAATCATGATTTTAAACTTGGAATGTATATAAGATTTCTGCTGGACAGATTCTTTCTCCAATGTAATTTTACTGCATAGAAATTGTACATTGTAAAAGGAATAAAGGTGCTGTTTAAACTTAACATCAGGATTTCATATATTTTTTAAATTATTTGCATAGGAAAAAAAAACAAAAAACATTAATGGATGCATTTTTCACAAGGTGCCTCGCAATGTTTTGCTGGTCATTGTTTTCTCTCTGTTTATCTTAAAGGTATTTTCAACACTTTAAAATCCCACTGGAGTGGCCCTGTAAGTTTCTTTTACATCAGTTGACCCTAGCCAATGGAATTAATAGTGCTTCAGATACAGAAAAGTCACCATAAGGCCTTACATTGGGAATGGGAAGGGACCTGAACTGCAGACAAAAAATGCTATGGTACTCGTGAACTCTCTTATATGATGTGTATTTAGATGAAATCAGGGATGAGATCAGTCCTCACTGAAAAAGTAGGAAAGTGGGCCAGGGATCCAGGGTAAACAATTCACAAGAATGACATAAATGACAATGAAAGAGTCGGAATTCCAACAAAAGTCGGAAAAGTCTCATCAGTGATGAAACTCATATTTTCTCTCCTCAAAGTTGGGCTGCTCTAAATTCACGGGCTCTTTCAAAATTCTTTCCAAGTATGTGCAGTTTCCCTGTCCATCAATCAAAATTATGGTATTTGTTCCAGAAAAAAGTAAAACAATCTGATTAAACATTTCATCTGCAGATATAATTCATCTGCCCTATTGTTAAATGTAAGACCCAAGTTACAAAATGATATCTGACTGAGAGATATTTAGATTGCGGAAAGTAGTCTTAACTAGAAGAAAATGAACCGAATTAACAACTTGTGTTGTCAGGAAAGATTTTACACACACTAAATGCGTTTAATATATATAAAAACAATTCAAGTTAGACACAAACAACAAAACGAGATAACTGTAGACTACAAGAGGTATCAAACCTGTAAAGATCTATTGAAATTGATGGTGAGGCAGTAAAACAAGTCAGCTGTTGGCTGTTGAACAATAGACTTACCTGGAGCGATAACACCACGAAAGTTAAAAAAAAAAGAAGGCAGCAAATGTACTTTTTAAGGACATTGAAAGCTTTCAACAGGAATGTGTCCATTTAAGAGTGTGTTATAGAAAGTATTTTAGCTAATGTTAATTGTATGGTATGGGCATGCAACTGAAGAGCAAAAAAAAAATGGAAAAGTTAGTTAAGACGGCAAGTAACATGATTGGGATCTTATTCCCATTGAATCTATAAAGGGTATCACACACACACACACACACACACACACTATATATATATATATTTTTTTTTTTACCATGCAACTCCAGGCCTTTTAGTTTTTAAGGAAAGAAAATGATTATTATGTAGCTCTTATCCCTCAGTCATATCCCTTTTTAATTCAGTCTTAAAACTTTTTTATTCATACAGCTTTTACAGTTTTTTAATACGAGGCTTTTACAAAGCAATCTATTCCCAATATAATTTTATATTTCATATATTTATTGCCTTAATAACAATTTATCTTATCTTGTCTGAACCTTAAAATCCAAAATCAGACTTCCTGTTTTATTCACAAACACTTTCATATAAATTTGAGAGACAAGTAAACACGAGAACTATAGCCCTGTCATAATTTTACTACAGTGCAAAATGTGTTAAATACATAGTATCACCTCTTACTCAAAACTCAATAAAAAGTCTTTAAACATTTGAAAACAAATATATTTCAATTGCACACCTTTATAATTCATACTCAGACTGTAACATTAGGAATGTAAAAGAACTGCAAAAAAAAAAGGTAATACTGTTACAGTGATTCATTGCACTGTTTCATGTGTATTATTTATTAAGATGAAACTCATATTTCCTCTCCTCATAGTCAGGCTGCTCTAAATTCACTGGCTCCTTCAAGGTTCTTTCCAAGTATGTGCAGTTTCCCTGTCCATCAATCAAAATTATGGTATTTGTTCTAAAAATAAGTGAAAAATGATTAAATACATATTATTCTATAAATAATTTTTTTTCAGCTTCCCGTATATTAAAACCCAGAGCCTGAATTATTAAACAATAATAATATTGAATAATAATAGTCTACAGTCCAAAATCCATTTTAAATATTCAGTACAATTCACGTAGGTAAAATGAACAAAATGGTTGAATAAAGTCAATAAATAAATAAATAAATAAATATACAACTAAAATAGTATGATAGTAAAATACATAGTATGGTATGCTACAAAATGTTGTGTACCACTATACAATTTGGCATGTCACCTTAGGGATATACGTGACAAATGAATTGATTCGTGATCTTCAAATAGATGAAACATTTTCTTCGAATTATTTGGTTCCTGAAAACATCAACACTAACCCATCACACCTCCTACAGCCTCTCTCCAATCAAAACCATTTAAAGGTATCCATTGGGAAACAACCTTGGTTGAATGTCTTTAATCTTAAAAACATACAAAAAATGTACCTTGTTCCATAATCCATGCTGGGGATTTTAACATATATGGCACTCCTCTGTTCTAGAACTTCTGTGCTATAATGCGCACCTTGTTTTTCTAGAATGGGGTCAGGAAAATTTCTAAAAAAGGATAAATATGTCATTGTTTACATCACTAGTTTATAAAGGAAGTAACAACCTATTTTATAGGAAACATAGCCTGTTGCCATAAAGAAGGAGTAATACATGCAAGATTTTAAAGAATTAAAATTATATTTATCAGAGAAAAAAACTTTCAGCAGAAAAATATAAGAATTATTTTGGCAAGGCTATACCTGGATGTAAGCCTGCTTTAGCATGCAATGCTTATTCACAACAATTCTGTCCTTAACCAGGATAGAGGCTGGTGATGTCAGACTTAATCTTGTCTAAGTTAGTGCAAATGTGAACATAACATACGCATTGCAAAATGTACTTATAAGGGCAAACATCCCCAGTTACATGTACAACTCTTTCACTCCATTGTGCAGACTTATGTATTGGACCATGTTTAAATGTACCCCCAACTGTCTTTGCATGTAAAAATTGAATCTAACTTCAGGGCACATTCAGTGGCATATTAGATGCAGAATAAGCAGAGGTGTCAAGGAACAAAAAAAATAAAAGATGCAAACTCGCTCACTATATTATATTATATTTAGTGTATACCTGGTCTCATCATTCAGAAGGGCCATCAATTCTTTCATTAGTTGGTCTTTGCACGACAGAGAATTATTTTCAGAAACTATGCTTTGGAATTTCTTTTTTCCGGCCTCTACTTTTTTCCATGGTTGATCAATTGTTGAGTTACCAGCTGCTAGAAAGCCTGATGTCAAAAAAGAGTAAAACATTTTTTATCAAATACATCTTAATACTCAGCCTGATGCCTAAACTAAGATTAGAATGGAATGCAACAAATGAGTATGCTATATCAGGAGCAGATCCCGAGATATTTTCTGACAGTCTTCCAAATTATCTTTGTTGATCCATCTTCAAGTTTTGACCGTCTTCCGACAAAAAATTATATACCATCAATGTAAACTTGAAAATCTGACCGTCTTTCGAAAGACCCAGAAGACGGCCTCAATCCGCCCCTGTATATGTTAACCATAAGTTGAGGATGACAATTATTACTAAGTGTACTTGGGTTGTCTGGCAGGGGTGGGAAGGGCCAGATTCTAATAAAAATAAAAAATGTCTATTTGTACCTACCTGGTCCAATTTCTTCTGGGTCACATCCTCTGACATTATCATAGAGCATCACCTTGCAGCATTTGCCATTGTCTCTAAGATTCATAAAATGTATTATATTAATAAATTGCACATGAAATGACACACTTTCATCATATTCAAAATCACGTTTTTGACACAATATTCCTAAAAACTCGTGTAATATTTTTAAAATCATCAATGTCTTTTCATTTCTTTCTTAATTATGTAAACAGTTTTTTCACTAAAAAATAATTGACTTAGGCACTCACTCTAGAGCTATATGTAGTGCAAATAGTAAGATGCTGATTTTATACAGGCCATTACTGATTTGTAAAATTAGTACATTCAGGGGGCTTACTGAGCAGCCAGATACATATCTTTCATTTCAGTTCAGAATAAAAACTTACAATGCTTGTGCATGTGTAAAAGCATGAACATTTTTGTACTTGACTGGTAAGCCAACTGATCCATATATAAATCATAGTTACAATAGGTCAAATATTTCTATTGATAGATTACCTCTTTTCCAATAAAATTATATTAAACTGATTATATGCAACCATCTTTGTGTCTTTTTGAACCATGGCAAGGTGCTCCTGACTGGACACATTTCCTTTTATGAAGTCTCTTACAATATAACCTGAAATATTCAGTAAATTTCAATAATCAAATCAAATCAAAAGTGAGTTATCATTCATAAGGTAAACACATATAAAGATAAGAGTATGCCATGCAGCTGTGATGTTTAACAAAATCAAATTAACCAATACCAGCATTTCAGCAGGTAGGATAAAGCCTTTTTAACTATGCTGCCAAACTACAAAACAACCACATTAAAATACATTAAGAAATTTTAGGGAAAGCCAAGATTAAAATTTCTTTTTAACATTAATTAACATCAGGATAAATGGATTTTTTGCGTGAAGAGTAAACTGCAAACTGGCCTCAACCTTCTGTCACAAATATTGAAATTACTTAATTAGTCCATGCTTGTAATTTAAAGTTGACACCTCATGCATTCTTTGTTACAATATCTTACCTAAGTGACACTTGAAATGGGTAATTTATGACATTTCTGTCATTAAATTTCCATCACTCATGTCTTATTCATCACCACACTGGATCTAAATATAACCATCATTTCTTTTTCATTTATATGAAAGACATTACTTTTAAAACAGACAAATATAAAACCCGTTTTGTAGGGTTATATGCAAGCACTATATTACATTAGAGAAGTCATCCAAGCTCTTTGCCACAAAAATAAGTATAGCACAGTAGACTTCCATCTCTGTGCCTACCTATATGTGTATACATTTCACAGCCATCTTGAAAAAATGTATTTTAATATACATGCACCATATGCATGCCCTATTTGTACATTAACTCCACCACACTAGGTTAAAAGAAATAAAAGTGTTTTATCATGAAACAGACTGGTTTACAAATCTTCAATAATCATCCTACCCCTTCCTTTGGCTTGTGGATCAAGATCTTTTTGCAATATATTGAGTAAAATTCCTATTTTCCCTGCTTTAGAGAGCCCTAGCCATGTTCCGCTACCTCTCCCAGGCATTAAGTCAATACCTGGAATTAAGCAAATTAAAATAAATATTAAAATAATGTGGAATAAATCCATAAGCACATTGTATGAAAAGTAATTGTAACTAATCTTGTGTGTGCGTGTGCCCGCATGCATGCACGGATACATATGTTCAGAGAGAGGGTGGAAGGGGAGGCATCATATCAATCATGTAAAACATTGTAATTTCCATCAACAGATATGTCAAGAGTTCACATTTATTGTCATATGCTTTATGTACTTGTTCTTTTTAAAATCAATCCAATTCATTTATATTACTTGATCTCAATTGAATCTTTACTGTTTCACCTTACATGAGGACTTGCATTGAATTAATACCTTTGTAAACAACAATCAAAACAGAAAGCATACTCATGCCAAGCCAAGCAACTTCCGTCAACAGAATTGTCATGATGTTATTGTCATAGACCTTTTCATCTACATATATTCCGCAGAATGACATGGAATCAAATGTACTTGTTCTATTTAAAATCAATGCAAATCATGTATGTTGCATGCTCTCATTCCTTTACTTGTATTGAATAAAAAGCTTTGTAAACAACACTCAAAACAGAAAGTGGTGGGGATTTTTTCATAATCGACATTTCTAGGTAGGCAAGGGCATTATATTACAAGAACCCTTTTATTGACAATAAAATGAAGTGAAAATCCTTGTTATTTTCTTTGATCTTTATAAATATGACAAGGATGTGTTTTTGGAAATCATCAAACTGCAATAAATGGGATTTTATTCCCTTTTTGTTTTTCATCTTTATGATCTTTTTTCTTGTGACACACAGCTAATGTAGATCTTTTCATTTGTCTTTTTTTTTAATTCATCAAACCAGTGTCATGTTTTAAGATTAGGAAAGAGATTCATTTGGTGGAATGAAGCAATCATTTACAATTGGTACTTCATGTCTGTAATTGAGGTGGGGAGGGAGGCTAGAATTGGTCTTAGAAACTATTTGGAATACAAATAAATCAAAAAATAATTTGAATGTGTAATGAAAACTCAAATCACAGAATTGGTCAATTATTGCTTGGTTTATTGAAGTAAAATCTTTCACTGAATCATCCTCTGCAATCATGTCATTAAATACACTTGCTTTGTCACAATGGCAAATCCAGAGTGCTTCTAACTTTCCTTCATATAAATATATCTTACAAACCCACATTAATGTACCCTCTTCAATGTTAAGATAAAATATATGTGACAATTCAAATCAACATGATCTGTGCTGAAACTTGAGTGAAACATAACTTGCCTCCAATGCAATCTGGCGCATCATCCCAAAAGTCAGCCAATTTTGTTGGTCTGTTGAAGAACTCGTCTCTGTTGCTTGCAAGGATGATGTCATATCCTTGACCAGAAGATGATGGGTTGATATACAGGAACAAGATGCACATTGTATTGCTGTTGTAATGACCAGATAAGTTGTATTGGCTAGTTTGAATCTTTGATCAAGTGGTGATGATCTACAATGGACATTTTCTTTCCATCAGCCTAAAATATCCAGAAAATGAACAGTTTCCAGTGGAAGATCTGCTGGTTCCTTTAAAAAGCAACTAATAATAACACATAAATTCACAGGAATTCAAAAACAATGTCATTCTGGAATTCCACACATTTCAGTAACTGATAAATAAACTGATACTGTCCTTGTCTTCTTAATTTTATAAAAGATGTCCACACCATCCAACTGCATAAGATGAATAAGTTTCTAAATTTTTAAGCACCCATAATGCAAGTATCAAATCTACCCAAAGGAACATTAAACATATCCACCGGTATGCCCCATTTGTATTCAATTCTTAAAATCCATCATGTATATAATAATTAAAACTGTTCTGCATCCCGAATTTGACTAGAATGTGTAATATGAAGCTGCATCCGCACAAGTCCAGCACGCAATGTGTACCCAACATAGATATACACAAAGGCCAAGCTGTAAGCAAAGAATCTGAGAATAATCAACAATCCATGTAGGAAAGAATCAGTGCGTCCAGTAGAGTATATTGGTGACGGAGTATTCATACTAGACCTAAACAGCTGATCTGAAAATAAAAATCTGCTGAAAGCAGGTAAAATAGTCGCTATCACCACAGTGGTGAAAAGCCAAAGATGTCCAGCACTGCAGGTTTTCCTTCCCATGATCTACAACTGTATCTGTAACTGTGCTTGCGATCAAAAAGTCATGTGAACATTTTAAACAATCTTTCACTTGATCAGCCTGCTTCTACAGTTAATCATGTTTCAAGCTGTACACGATTCATCTTATTTCAATTATATCAGTCTTCTCAATCTCTTGCAATGTACATGGTAGTAGGCTAGTAGCAATTCGCTGTAAAAGTGCATGTACTAGTACACTGTAAATGTTCAGTTTCAATACATTTGGTCAAAATATACTGCTTAGAATCGATCACTTGCCATCAGTAGCACAAAAGCACAAACGACAAAGAGAAAGAGGAACTAACTATGACGCTGCAAATGGTAAAGTAAGTATGCAGGTCCTGAATAATAAATACAGAGACAAACCTGCTTTCACAACCCACTAAGGGGGGGGGGGTAGTCTCGCTTTAGGTTGTTGCCAATAGTTTTATATGGTATTGAACAATATCTCAAACGAGGCTCATATTTAGAAACCTTTAAACCAACATGATAAAAATAGAAAAACCCGGCCTAGATTTTTTGCAAGGAGCAAGTGTATTGGATGCAATCCAACTTGGCCTACTTTGTCACAAATCTGCTTGTAGTGCTTGGAGTGCTTGTACACATGTTGAGACCACTAACGAAATCGTCTCACAAATTTGCATCATTTAAAGGTGTGCAACGTTTACTGACAAGATGTAAATCAGGTAAATAACATAAATTATTATTTAACTATTCTACATGTAGCGCCAACTGCCCTCTGGCTTTGCACATGTATGCGTGTGTGGAGCGGAGTTGCTTGATCCCTTTCCTTTTTGCAGTATTTTAGCAGAATAATGATCGAGGTACAGTAAGGTGTAAAAGATTTACGTTAAATTGGTGTGTCAGTACAGAAAATGGAGACTGTTAGGAGTAACAATTACAGACTGATGAAAAATATATGAAATTTTATAAACGGAAATGGTAAGTACAGTACTGTATGTAATAAGTTATATAAGTTGATTTTTTAAATTTTATGCAATATCTGTGTACACATGGTGGGCTTGCATACATCCAGTCCTTTTAAATAATCCTGGATCCGCCCCTGTACATCTGCTGTTATCCTTTTGTAATCGAGCTACATGTGTCAAAGCTGCATGTGTTCTCTTGTTAGCTTTGATCAATAGCTCTGAAAGCAATGCAAATTAAGAGACAGGACTGGAGGGATTTGTAAATATTTTATTATAAGCCTATTTTATTGATTTATTCAAGTATTATTAATTGTTCAATAATGTATTTCTTTCTGAATGGTATTTTTTACTGTCCTGAATGTACATGTACTTTTTTTCAAATTCAGATATATATAAATTTGCTTATAGCATGTGAATATTTACTTTAGTATATAGTATATTAATTTATATCATGTTATGATTTTTTATCCAACATATTTTGAAATGGTTTTAGATAATTCCATTCCTACCAAGAAGTATGACTTGGTTGTGGTAGGTGGAGGCTCTGGAGGTTTGGCATGTTCAAAAGAAGGTGAGAGCAAGTTAAAGTCCATCAGTACTGTATTTAAGCATCAAAAGAAGAATTCATTTTAAAAGTTCAAAAAGAAAAATAATAATGACTTAATCTCATTCTCATATTCTCATTCTCTTATTCTCATTCTTGTACAGTAAAATACAATAAAGTACAATAATAAAATCTGTTAAAATTCTTTATTACTGACAAATAATATGGTCATTATTTTATATGTAAATTGATTTTAGCTGCCACTTATGGAAAACATGTAGCTGTGTTGGACTATGTGGAGCCATCCCCCCAAGGTGAGTGCATCTCTCTCTCTCTCTCTCTCTCTCTCTCTCTCTCTCTCTCTCTCTCTCTCTCTCTCTCAACAACAGCAACAAAAGCCATAGACTCAAAATACACATACATACACAGTAAAGACTTTATTGGTATCATGTACATATTGACATATTTCAGGGACCAAGTGGGGTCTTGGAGGTACATGTGTCAATGTAGGCTGTATTCCCAAAAAACTGATGCACCAGGCAGCCCTCCTGGGAGAAGCAGTGCAGGATGCTAGGAAGTATGGATGGACAGTTCCAGAAAATGGGATTCATAATAACTGGTATGAGGTTTAATACTGTGCTGGGATGATATTGCACAAGAATCATTGTTAGTAATTGTAGAAGTAGATTTTTTTAAATATATTATTAAAACATGGTTTTATGAGGCAAAGCTCAAAAATGGACAAGAAAATGCATTTGATGTATTTTGGAGCTTAGTTTTAAATCTCTTTTCTATTGTTCTTTGCAGGGAGACCATGAGCAGTGCAGTACAGAACTATGTTAGATCACTGAATTGGGGGCACAGGGTGCAGCTGCAAAGCAAGTTAGTTACTATTAAAAATAGGTTTTCTTCTAATGCAAAGGGAGCATTATATTGAAAGCATATCATCCCTTGAACAAGTAGAAGAGAAATATGAAAGTTCAAGTTTGGAGTGGATTTAGAGGGCTGTAGTGTGTTGTTGTTGTTGTTGTCTACCTCTATATATAGAAAAGAGGAATTTCTGTGTATTAAAGATATTGTGAATACTTACAACATTTTAGTATTTTTCTATTGAAAACCATGCTTAATTTAACTGCCTAATGGAAGATAAGGAGTATGTCCTATGATTTACTCAAAATCATATAAAAAAAAACACAATTTACTTTTTCCCTAGAAATGTGGAATATCTGAATGCAAAAGGTTATTTTCTTGACAATCACACACTTGAGGCTACAGACGCCAAAGGTAGAAAGGTAAGAAACTTGACCTGTACAAAGCTTTAAATCAGAGTTACCAGATAACAAGGCAAGAAAAATAGTGATGAATATTTTTTGTAAAGATGGATTTGAATGTGGTTCTTTTTAATATAATGGAATATATTCAAGATAGTCTACTATATTTTAATTTGTTTCTACATTTATATACTTGTATAGATAACAATTGTCATATATCTTCAAATAATTTGTCCCCTAAAACCCAGGCTCAACATATTACATAAATTTCTATTCTTTTCAGAAAAGAATTGTGGCAGACAATTTTGTAGTAGCAGTAGGTGGAAGACCAAAGTATACAGAGGTAAGATATTTTATTTCAAACTAATATGTACTCTAAAAGTAAAAAAAAAAATTAGCAAAAAGAAAGTTTCACGTGCTTTTAAGGTTTCAGTATGTCACATATTTTTAACTGTTGTATTTTGTGTCCAGATACCAGGTGCATTAGAATGTGCTATAAGCAGTGATGATATATTTTGGTTGAAGAATAAACCTGGAAAAACGTGAGTAAATATTAAAATATGGGTGTCCATTTTCAACTTCTAATAAGTGTCAATTTTTGTAGCTTATGTTAATACAACAAAGCCTAAAGATTTATATTAAATATATCTCTGAAAATTATGTATCTGCATGGATCTTTGATCAGATGTGATTTTTTTCCACAACTGCTTATTATAACTACTTATTATTGTCATTTTATTTTATTTATTTATTTTTATTTTATTTATTTATTTTATTTATTTTTTGTAGTATGGTGATTGGTGCTAGTTGTATCCTTTTTAGTATTGTTGTTCGATTTTAACTGATATCTTAAAATGATATCCTTCAATTTTGTATTGTCAAAATTACTGAGATTCCATAATATAATATGAGATTTCATAGTATTTAACACAATTACATTTTTTCACTCCTGGGACCAATTTTGAAAAAAAAAGTTGTGTTCAGCTTTTAAAATGTTTCAGTTATTTTGCCCTAAGGTCTTTCGTGCTGAATAATGCTGACTATTACATAATATATCTGACTATTACATAATATATGTTGCCAGTTTGATGGCAATTCTTAATGTTACTCCTAATATAGTATGCTAGAAATGCAGTCCTAAAAAAATCCTTAACTACACATAAAGATGTAGCCTTAGAGTGTGCAGGTTTCCTCACTGGTCTTGGCTTTGATACATCCCTCATGATTCGCTCAATACCTCTCAGGGGATTTGACCAGGTAGGGGTGTGCTTGTCTTTAGATACTGAAATTTATAGGGCATAGTAGAGGGTTCTCAAATTAGAAGCACTTGGCACAGCTATCACGTTTTGGTGGATCATAGAACCACATCCTTATATTGCCTTTTTGAAAAGGCATGTGGCTTTATATAACCAACAGAAAAGAAATACCCCAAACTCCACACACTTAGTGGTTGTACTCTGGAAAAGATTACCAATAAGAAACTAGTTCAAGTGTGTTCTGTAATCATGTATGCGTTGCAGAATGATACTGAAGATTAAGGAAAGGGTATGTTCATCTAGTCTAAAATTTATTTCAGATCATGGTATTATAAAAAATAAAATGTTGTAGAACATAAGCCTGAGCAGTGTTTGTTTTGATTTGCAGCAAATGGCACACCTGGTCACAGATCATATGGCATCTCATGGTACCAACATGCTATGGAAATGTGTTCCTGAAAGTATGGAGAAACTGAGTGATGGGAAGATCAAGGTGACATGGAAGAACACAGAGACAGTAGAGGCTGGGTCAGACATTTATGAGACTGTCCTTATGGCTGTAGGTTAGTAGTTATGCACTGTGTACACTGTTTCCACACTTTGAGTAGAAATATATACAAGAAAGTTTATAAGCATCTTGTCCTGATAAAACAAACTTTGTTTCTTCCTTAGACCTTAAATGTTTTCTAATTTTTTTTTACAAAATTTAGACATATTATTAATATTATAAACACACACAAAAAAATTGGTGGACAGCAGGAGAGTTGTTCTGGTTATCCAACATTGTAATTCACAAAATGAATAGCGCTTTTGTTTATTGACATGCTTGTACTAGAATACCACTGAAAAGTAAAACAATCAAGTTACAGAAATGCATGGAATATGCATTGGACACAAATTATATTATTTTTGACCATGTAGGAGTGTTATTATTCTAGGTCGTGCCCCTGAGACCACCAAGATAGGGCTGGACAATACTGAGGTCCAGTTGCATGCCTCTAGTGGTAAGATCCTGGGTGAGCATGGTGGTGACCTGGAGAGGAGCTCTGTACCTCATATATATGGCATTGGAGATATTTTAGAGGTAATACAATGTGACACTTACTTGACACTTTTTTGTCTTGTCTTTAGTTAGCTTTTAGTTAGCTTTTGCATGGAGTTTATGGAGAACAAAACTGCAAGTTGAAATTTTGAGTGTCTTCTGTTTTTTTATAGAAAACAGGCATTATGATGTCATTATTTTGTTGACAGTTAAAATACACAAAATTGTCAAATATATATATATATTTGTTTTTGTTTTTTTTTTCCTCAGGGGCGCCCTGAACTGACCCCAGTAGCAATCAAGGCAGGGAAGCTGCTGGCTCATAGGTTGTATGGCAATTCCACAGTACAGATGGACTATGATAAGGTATGAAACAATGTAAATATGTTACAATTTATTTTTTTTGGGAATTTTGATTACTTAGCCAATGTTTTGCTCAGCATTTTATAATGAGGTTTTGGTGTATCTGTTTGAAGTGGAATAAGTCAACTGAAACTCGTGATAACATCACCTTTATTATATTTGCTGTTCCCTCTGATAACATTTTTATCATGATAGACACATTGGTAACTTTTCGGAATAAAGATTTGCTTTCTGCTATAGGTCCCCACTACTGTGTTTACACCTTTAGAATATGGCTGTGTTGGCTTATCTGAAGAAGAAGCATTAGACAAGTATGGTGAGGACAACTTGGAAGTAAGTGGATTTCTGTTACAAAATGCCAGTTAATTTTATAAAATGTGTATTGTCATACTGTTGTTAGTGTGCAGTATGGGTAAATATCTCATATTTTGATAAAGTAGTTGTGAGTAATCTAGTATTTATTAAGTAGTAATATAATTCTGAACATGGCATGTGTGTGTGATTTTTATTGTAAAACTAAAACAATTGTTCACAATGTTTTTGACAGTTGAACAAGCAATTTTATACTGTTTTACAGGTTTATCATGCTTTCTACAAACCTCTCCAGTATTCAGTGGCAGAAAGAGATGCTTCTCAGTGCTACATAAAAGTAAGTTTTTTTATAACATTGGTGTTAATTTCTGCATGATGAATTAAACACGAAGCCCTTATACAGTATTGGAGTATATGGCTCAGTTAACTTAATTATGTCACTCTGCTTTAATGGAAGAGCGCACCTTTCCATACAGGTTCATGTTTAGAATCAGAAGAAGTTTAGCATACCTTAGGATTCACCTATTACAAGTAGTGTACTAAGTCTTCTGTGTAGTATACCAAGTCTGCCTGAACAACGTTTATGTTTTAAACATGGTATGAGTTCATTTTCCATTTGATATTTACATATGTTCATATATGTAATGATGAATAATAATCACAATTTTAGATGATCTGTGATAAAGAGGGTGACCAGAAAGTTCATGGATTACATTTTCTAGGACCCCATGCTGGGGAGGTGCTGCAGGGATTTGCTGTTGCTATAAGGTGTTTTTTGGATAGGTTATGATGGAGCAAAGATATATAACTTGGATGTATCTAGCCCTTACATTAATTTTTTAATATCAGTTGTGTTTTGCATCATTTTCTCTTTGGTGTTGCAAAAATATCATATTATTAACATTAAATACAACATAAAACAACAAAATCTTAAAAAGAAGTGCTTTGACGTATTCATTATAGGTCTATAAAAAGTTCTCAGTCAGTTCTATTTCTTGGCATTTCGACAAAAAATTTAACTGTTCTTGATAACTTTTGATAACTTAATTGCATAATATATATTGAAGGATTTTTATTTTACTATTTGTTCTATTCCAGGTGCAATCTGACCAGAGAGATAATGGACAGCACACTAGGTATTCATCCCACCAGTGCTGAGGAAGTGGTCAAGATGCACATCACCAAGCGGTCAGGACTGGACCCTACTGTCACTGGCTGCTGAGGTTAAATACACCCCTGCTCTCAATACGCCTCACTGCACTCCTTCCTAGTGGTCAGTTTATGCTTTCAGGATAAGCTGAAATAATTGACATAAATCCTAGTGGTTAGGGTTAAAACAGAGCATCACTTTTGTATCAAGTTGGAATTCAACAGGATGACATTTGTGTAACTTACAGAAAAATTATGAACAACAAGTCTGATTTGATATTCAGGAAGATGGTCTGGGATGTGTAGTGCAGTGAAAGTGAAAGAACATGAGGCATTATCAGACACATTATTCAATATTTTGTTTATCTGAATTTGGCACTACATGTATCTCAACAGAAAGTGTGGTTACAATTTCTAATTATCCCTACACCTGGGCATGTTTAAACTTACCTTAGTAATGGTGACAATTCCAGGGACAACAGAGGGATTACGTGTGTCCCTTTGATGAGCTAATCATAATCACATTGTCTGCTGAGACAGTCTGTATAAAAAGAGTCTGTATAAAAATCGGTCACAACTGCACTGTAAATGTTTCTTAAATTTCAAATTCTGTTTCTTTTCACTCAAATGAAATGCTATGATGTTGCCTCATGATCTGGCAGGGGTGTGTTTGAAATGTATGTGTGTGTATTATCACAAGAGCTTACTGGTGAACATCTTAAGTTCTGAGCATACACAACTGTTGTTGTTATTTAATTGCCATCAATGACGACATGTTTGTAACTTCAGAAATGAAACAAACTTGTCTGATGTTCTGGCAAACGTGTATTGTATACATGTAGATAATTTATATATGCTGTTGCTGTACCAAGTTATTTAAAAATGTTAATGAAAATTGCCCGTAAGACGGTCAAAATATGTTATCAACACTGAAACGATTATCAAGTATGTGCACCAATGAAATATTTGTCAGCTTTTTAGAAATCTTTTTAATTTCAATTAAGTGTGAAGATCTGTCAGTGACTCCATAGTTGTTTTGGGCACAGCTGTTTTTTATGCTTACATGTGTAGAAAAAGTGTTGGATTCAAGACATGAAATATTTTTATTGTTAATTATTTCATTGTTGATTGATTATGCCTAAGTACCTCTTGATATATTGAGGTCGATTCATTGATGGTTTTATTGATGATTTAAACCATTTTTTCCAAGAAAAAAAAGAGAAAAAAAATAAAAATAATACTACCCACAACAATATAGAAATCTTTATGATAAAAAATCTTTTTTCCGCTAAAAACATTTTGTATTTAATATATCGGAAAGATTAATGGAACTGGAAATAAAACCAAAACCAAGTTTTATTTTCATGGCAAATGGTTTATCTGTGTGATGTACCTCGTTTCGCGGTAGAATGGTAGGTGCGTGGCTGATTTAAGAAAACTGATGTCAACGTCGAGTTTCATCTTGGTCACTGTCTGGGCACGTGAATCGATTTCGTTAAATCTGTATAATAAACACTAGATGATGATGATGAATCATGCAGTATGTACCTGGGGGGGGGGGTGCAAGTTGGGATTTCACCATGGCCAAAATCCAATTACAAGTGCATGCTAGGAAAAGCATCAAACATAGATAAAGTGTATCGAGAAAAATGGGCATAAAAGTGTAGTTTATTATTACCTTTGGCCATTAGACTTCGGGTAATCACCTGCATGGATGGAACAGATCAAAAGATGTGTCACTGGTCAGTCCATATAATAGAAAATCGTTACTGCTTTGCAAACAGTTTGATTTGTATCGACGCATGGGGGATACTCAATATCTATTATTCCCAACGATGAGACATCAATTAAGTCAATGTATTAGTGAAGAAAGTGATACGTTTGATAGCCTCTTTGGATATACCAAAAATAGCAGTGACCCTGGTCAGTAGGTAGAGCATGATAGATGGACATTGAAGGGTGGAGTGTTCTGAAAAGGCTTCTTTTATTAAAAGGAGATAGCTGTATCGACTGTGTCAAAATTGCACAACTTTTATGCATAACTATCTAACAGGGCTTTCATGTGTTTGAACAAAAAGTTACAGGATTTCCTCTACAGCTTGAGATCACTTTAAATTTAGGTTGGTTCGGCTGTAATTTAAAGATTGACCAAAACGTCATACTATCTTGGGTATATTACATTTTGAATAAATGGGAAATGTTTACAAAAACCTTTTTAAAGGAAAAACTATCAAGAATCGTTGTAGTGATGTATTTACCGCCATGAAACGGTGATGAACTTCCCTAAATCACCAGCATAACGTAAGAGTTATTTGACAAAACCGCCTGATTTGCATATCTTTTATGATGTAATTTAACCAGGTACTGCTATCACCAATAACTCTATCAAGGGTATTGTTATTACGAAACATTCTGTACAGATGTGTAGCTCTAGGGCACCCTCTAGTGCTTTGAAAAGTCTGATACCTTGCCCTCCAAAGGTGCGCGCACTGCTTTTTATTCATGTAGTTTACCACAAATCCTTTATTCCGCCACAGAGAAATAATATAAATGGTACATACGTCAGATGGTAACGCGTGTAAGCCACAGTATGTCACTTCAAAGTAACTGGTCGTCTTATGGGTACAAAGAGATGTCTCTGCACCACAAGGTGGTAACATTTTTCATCGGTGAAAAAAAGTTTGGCGAGATGAAAATGCCGTGTTCAGTTCATTATCAGAGTAAATCTCATTGTCGCATCCCTGCGGAGAGCGCACATGTTTAAGATGAACAACTAAACTGGCAATTTTTGTGAAACACAAACTAAGAAGTACTCTACATGACCCTTTCAGTAGCAGAGAGCGTATACTGGATTGATAAATGTCGTCGTCATTTCAAAAACGGAGCTCTAACTTCATACTGGTACAAACTGTTAGGATATATGTTCGACTGCATGTTAGCGGGGGAGAAAAACCAGTAGAAGACGGCGGATAGTTCAAAAACACGCCTTTCCTTCTGGGCTCTCCTCTTCCAGTCTATTTCAAGGTTATATAATATGCCGTAAGGTTTGTTATAAAACCAGTTGTTTTTTATCCTTATAATTTTATTGATACAATAATCTGGTAGGCTTCCAGAGCTTTTTATCCAGATTCTAGTGTGATTGAGTTGAGTGAAAGCGTTTGGATGTTTAGGTAGGCCTATATATCATAACATGTCATATAGTATACCCTCCCCCCACGTTCCTAGCTGCCACTGCACTAAAGGCGGGATTGATGAGCCTATATTTTAGAACGTTCTCACATTACAAATGATCTCTTTGGAATTGGCTGTATGTTGGAACATAAATATATCAGACGTGTAGAAACTATTTATAATTTACCATTTACCGTTTCGCATCGGGTTTGGCAACAAGACAAGCTGAAAGAAATTTTTCTTTTGTTAATCGTCTTACAATTATTCGATGGCGCTTGACAATAAACGATGGTAAATCGTTTTGTATTAGTTTCTAAATTCTAAATTCTAATTCAGTGACGCAGACATTTGCCTGTCAGTGTGGTCGTTTTCTCCCATATGGGCCTCCAATGTCACACAAAGCTGCAGGCTCTTGCAGTTCTATGGAGGTCAAAAGTGGTGTGCATTTTTGGGATCTTTTTCAAGACGGAGTAGGTGTGTTTGGAATATTTTGACATTTATGAAACAAGGCTTCTGATGGACTCCCCTCCTTTATTAAGGTAGAGGACACGAAAAGCCGTTTTGATTTAGGGAATAGCTACCATTTCAATCTGCCTGGGGAAGCGATTTTATTTTCTGTTTTCTAACACTAAATTGCATTCTATATGAAAAATTCGGTTGTCATTATACTGTTTTAACATGATGTCCCTTTTGACCAGCACGACGTGAACAATGCACATTGATAGCAGATTTCTCATTTACTCTACTGTTCAGTTAAAGGTTATATATCTGTGAGCCCAAATCAGGCTATGACGACTTTATATAAACCCGGGATTTTTTAATATTATATGACGTCATATCATTAATTTTTGGGTTGAAAGTGCTATGTTCAGTTCCCTATGTTCTCCTCTACCTGGGCTTGTATCAGAAAGATATCAACGAAAGGTAGTGCTTTTGCGTGAGTACTATAGGGCAGTGCGACTGCTTTCCCTACTCCATTTCGATATTTTAAATTATCCCTAACAACTTTATATTACAACGATTTTCAACGGATCTTTCAAAATAAAACCAATCAGCATCGGTTTCAAAGATGTTAATAAAAATCTGTGGAACCGGATTGATCTTCGCGCCTTTGTCAATTGTCATACCAATTTTGGCGTTTTTAACTGCAGTGAGTACAGAGGTATCCACTGAATCGATTGGTACGTATCTACACCCAACTAGGATTATTGAGTTATGGTCGCAAAATGTTTCCAGGCATTTCAACAGGTAAAATGGCACCTTAGTACAATGGTAGTCCTACCTGCTCTTTTTATGTTGTTCTGCATTGTCCCTTAGGATATGCCAGAAATGATGGATTGATACAGAACTAAGCAAATGAAGAAAGAACTCAATTTAGGTCACATGATGACATATTTTAGGGTATATAACCTTTAATATGATATCGTTATTTTTTGCACATTGGTAATATGGCTAACCAGGGTATAGGAGAACAGGATGATGGATGACATTCACGAGAACCGCTTTGCTTCTGCCAGTTAAAGTGTAATAGGTGAGGGTAGCCTCTTTTTTTTTCATCTGCAAGGGTTCTCTGATGAAAATCTTAACATTTTTATCACTGTTGTGAAAGAGAAATATAAATAATAAGTTGGTTTTGAGAGTCAGCGCATTAAGTATATGTTCCTGATTAAAAGTCAAGGGCAGAGAAAGGTTAAGGCTAGCATATGCTCTCGGCTTGCGAAGAAATTTTGTCGAGTGTTAATGTCAAATCTCAGCATCATAGCTTACTCCAACTCTGGCCATTGCAATCTACTAGTTTTTGATCATTTGATTAGTTGTTTACTGGTGTTATTCTAGGGTTAATAACTTGCCAATTTGCAAATTCTGCACTTTCTTAAATAATAACCAGGGAAAGCCAGGCGGGAGTTAGAACGGTTTGTACAAAAGTTCGGTAATACTCTCTGTAAGTTTATTTTTCACCAGTAAGGAACTATTACGTGACATGTTACTTACACCCTCGCAACTAAGTTTGCTACCTGCACACCATAACACCTGTTTTGCGATGAAAACGATGTTATGTGTGGTACGCTCATTTACTTATTTCTCAATGCGCCCCTCAGACTAACTGAAAATCAACAAAACTGAAATCTTAACCAGATTTGAGAGCCACTTATTATCGCTCCTCTTCAAAGTATTGCTATACCGGAGTTTTTAATGCACTACCCTGTTTCCTTTTTCTTTTCTTCTTCTTATTTGAGCGTTTATTTTGTGATCGGACTTACTTTTTACGCAGCTGGCTTTGGTTGTCTTTTATGCTTTTTTATGTAGAACTATTCTTGTACAAACATTCATATAGTCCAGTTTAAAAAGAAGAAAAAAATTAATCAATAGGTTGAACTAGAAAACTAGTAGGAAGATGTGCACTTTATGAATAAAAGCAATCAACGTTCTTCACTATTCGAACGCATTTCCAGCGGGCAAGGTGCCCGAGGTCCTCATACGCTGAAACAGTTCGGTCTTCGTGGTATACTGAGTAAATACGAGCTGGAGCGACCTACGTGTTGAAATAGATACTGTCTGGCCGCAGCCAATTTGATGAGGTACTTTTGGTGACCAATACTATTTATCTGCACAAGTGTATTCCCATTGGTTTGCAGGTTGCCAAAGAGTTCTTGTGAATTGTGGTGCACATGACGCTTTTCTCCTATAGGTTAAAACTAAGAGCCTCACACATTCTTGTATTAGATTTCAGAAAAAAAAATCCAATTACCGTTACTTATTGTGGATAACGTAACGCACGCACTTACTTTAATACAAGTGGTACTTTTCTCTCTTCCTTCAACTTAAGGTGATTTGCTTAGTTTGAATCCATGCTCAGTGCATTTTTCTTTCTGAAACCCTTAGAAAATAAAGGTGAAGTAGCAAATCCTATTTTTGATTTAGATCACCTGTTTTCCTCGGAG